ACAAAGTTTAATCTTATAGCATTTTAAAGCAATGAATAATTTTTAGCAAATAAGAATTTTTAATATGTATAAAAAATTGATTTTTAATCAAGATAAAGTAATACTTCTATGGGATTTTTTTCATATTTCTTATTATAAATTATGATATGATTTAAATTACTTTTCTAGCTTTTGTGAAATATTACACTGTCTTTTGATAAATATTGCATTTGTAATTTTTGAAGTGTTTAAATTTTGACTAGATTGATTACAATATGCAGCAAAGTCATTAAACATTCATTTTCCTATAACATTTAATTCCTATAACTTTTCATGTTGCATAAAACCAAAATATTATACTACCATCTGCTGCAAAGTGGGAGAGTTTGAAGGACAATCTTATTGAAAATAATAATAATAATGCTCACATGGTTTGATAGTTATTGCACAAAATAATTTTTACTTATAATTTAGAGCGGCTATGAGCTTGGCTATGATACTGACATATCATTTCCTTTGAAGCCTCTGTCACTGGGAGGGAAAAATGAAGCTCAAAGCATGAGGTTACAGATTTCTGAAATGTATATTTTATGCTTTTCTTGTATTTTTGTAGTATAAGTCCTTTCTAGATGATGATAATCAAGTAGATTTGTATACATAGGTGCTAATTTGCCATTAGACTGTGACATTGTATTTGTTTCTTCTCATTCTTTGTGCTTGTATGAATGGAAATGAAAAATATAGGTGTACTCTTTCATTTAACTATCAGTTTGTTTAATTAATAATTAATTGATCATTGAAAATTTTAATAATGATAACAGAAGTTATTTAGGAAGAATAAACTTTAAAATATATTTATGAGGTCATAAAATTGATGTAAAGAATTCAACTGATTGGAGATTTTTATGGACTGCCTCACTTATAGCATTCAGATCCTTTAAAAGCTTTATGATTTGTGAATTTCAGATTATAGTCTTTCTATCTTCCTTTAGCATCATATAGTCTGATGATGCATATAAATTTTATATCTACTAATGATGTTTTCTTAGTCTAATCTTGATCTGATTTTATTCCTTTCATACATGTGTATTTTTAACTCATATTACATGATTTTAAATTTTAATTGTATTTTCTAAAAATGCGTTTAATTATACTGAATGATCTTGAGAAGTGGGTATGGTATTACTAACTTATTTTAGAGTTTGTGTGTGTAAAGTTAGTAACTAATTTATTTAGAATTATGTATGGGCAAAGGTCTTTGCTTAAAACATATTCAGTTTTCCTGAGTGATTTCATAGATGGCATGCCTTATAATTCCATTATTTCATGAGCAAAATTTATTAATTAAATCAATAATTTCTTCGGAAAAATAAAATGATAATATAAAAATTCCATAATGCCTTATATGAAAATATAATTGGTATAGTGTGCCTTATCCAAATATTATATTGTGCTCATTAATACAACAATACAATTTATATTAAAATTTAATTTCATCTATATGAATTTTTGTATGTATGTATTTAAATGAATATTTCAAGTTGTTTTCAGTAAATCACGTTATGAAAAAATATTTTCTATAACTTTTAGCATTTCAGATCTTTCATTTTTTTTAGAATTCTTGTATATTTGCTTATTTTTTAACGCGTTTCCAGAGTTTTAAAAAACAGATATTTTTAAAAGTTAATCTATTCTTTGTTAAATGTAGGAGTATGCCTGTAAAAATATGATGTAATATTCTTTATCAGCTTTATACTTTATTGCTGTATAGTTGTACATGCATTAATTTTGTATAAATTAATGTATTTTTTTCAGGTCATAGGTGTAATTGTACTTAATACTGTAATTAAATTTTTAAAAAGTTATTAATTTAGCAGGATTAAAAAAGTTTCTTTGTTTTTACAAAAGCATAATTTTATGAGAACCATTCTTGATTTTAATGTATTTTAAATGCATTGTTTTAATTATTTCATTAAAATTTAAATGCCAATGTTCATTGCATATTCTTATCTGTAAAAAAACTAAGGAAAAGAAAAACCCTTGTGCCTTTTAATTATTTCATATCCTGAAGGGTAGCTAGATTTTTCAATATAAAAATTTTTTCTTTTATTATCATTTTCTACCTTAAAAGATAGCTAGACTTTTTTGCCTTTGATATATCAAATATACGAAAATATGTATATTGAAAAATGCCATCAAATACTAAAAGTTCTAATATAGAAGGGTGAAATATTTCACATGTGATTCAATTTATTTTTATACAGTTTCTGTAAATTTTTATAGTTATCATATTGTAATCAGTTTTGCTCTTGAAAAGTGCTATCTGTCACCATTTTATCTCATATTGTTAAAATTAATTGAATTTGATGTTCCTTATTTTAAATTACTTTTAAAATGCTAATTTTACATTAAGTACTTTATTTTCTTAAAACAGTTTCCTTTGTATTGAAAGCGAGTGTTTAATTTAATCTTAGCTGAATAAGTTAAGATGAAAGTTATGCATATTAATTTTTGAACATTCTAAAATAATTAAATAAAATACTCATCTTGCTATGTTGTATGCATCTCTCATATAATTTGTTTAAATAACTGAAAATATGATATTAGATTTATTTAAAGTAAATGGGGCAAAATGTTTCTTATTTAAAACTATTAATTTTGTATATAATAAGTGTTTTCATAATTAAAATTGTTCGTAAAAGTTTAATGGAAATTTTTAGTGTAATTTAGATTAGTATCCTAACACCAGAAAGGGTTTCTCATGTATTATTAATAATTTTCATAAATTTTTCCACATACTTGGTAACCTTTTTATTGATGCATAGATATTTCTCGTATTCCTTGTCTCAGGATTTCATCATGAAACTTGTTTTATAAAAACCTGATTTGGAAGTTTCTTAAAGACTTATAGTAGCTTGTTAGACTGGAGTCCAATGAAAGGAATTTCTTCTTTCGATGCTGAGTTGTATGTACTATGAGCTACACAGTTATTATGACAATGCCAGTAGGCTTAAGCTTTGAAATACAAAATATCAGTTGCATCTGAAATAATTACAAAACTGCTAAGTCTTAAATAAACTCATTTATTTCACCAAAAATTTAAATCTTCATTGATGTGTTAAGTTGCAGTGCCAGCAGTCAAACAGCACATCGAAAAACATATTAAATTATTTATTCTTTGATAATCTAAAAATCCTAGTCAAAGATATGATGAATTTGTTATTTTCTATCTTAAAAGGTAGATGTGCATTAAAAGCATGGGAAGCAGGTTAAAGAACAGCTCCAGGGAAGCATACTTTGTAAAAATATATTTTTAGTGTATTTTTTGTATTTATTTTAATGCATACAAGCATTAGTAAGTTAAAAAGGTACTTTTCCGTTTCGCTGGTGCAAATCTCGCCAAACACACTTTATTGGCAACAACATACATTGTCCACATAAAAAAATGTTAGTTCTAAGAATTTCGTATTTTGAAGGCATAAACATTTAATATCATTTAAAATTTGTATAAAGCCAATAAATAAAGACAATAAATTTGTAAAAAGACATTAATTTAAGAATTTACTATGCTTTCATTGTTCAACATCCTCATTCGGCAGTTCATATCATGTGACTCCAAGTGATCTCAACTCACGTAAATTACGCTACTAAAATCTAATTCTAATAAATATATTTTTAGTGTATTTTTTGTATTTATTTTAATGCATACAAGCATTAGTAAGTTAAAAAGGTACTTTTCCGTTTCGCTGGTGCAAATCTCGCCAAACACACTTTATTGGCAACAACATACAGCGTACACATAAAAAAATTTTAGTTCTAAGAATTTCTTATTTTGAAGGCATAAACATTTTAATATCATTTAAAATTTTGTATAAAGCCAATAAATAAAGACAATAAATTTGTAAAAGGACATTAATTTAAGAATTTACTATGCTTTCATTATTCAACATCCTGATTTGGCGGTTCATATCATGTGACTCCAAGTGATCTCAACTCACGTAAACTACGCTACAAAAATCTAATTCTCTTAGTACTTATCTACATTAATTTCAAGTTAAATCTTAACTTGGAATACAAGTTTTAAATGCAAGAATTATTTCAATTCGTACTCAGGAAACGATTCTTACTCAGAAATTATGTAAAACCGCACAAGTGCTTTACTTTGCTAGTGCATTCTCATTAGAATTGGTGAATTTAAACCCTTAATTTTGCCTCTTGCTCATATTTCCGGCCTTCAGGGTGAGCGGTGTGATTGCATCCTTATTGACTAATTACTGTGAATGGTCTTAGGGGATAAAATTGAACTGTCTGGTAAAAATTCTATGTAATTGTATGCCAGTATTGAAAGAAGCAATCAATCTGATAAGAAATGGCTTCGACTTGTTTTGAAAAGGAGGCATGAAAGGTTACCAGTGAGGATATTCCGTTTGGCATCTGTTGTACCATTATTGGCGACTTTGTCACCTGCGCTGGCTAAACGTAAAAAGTGCCGTTAAAAATATAAATGTGTTTACAATGCATAATGAATAATTGTGATAAATAGAGTCAGACTCCTAAGTGAAACTTTTAAGATTTCAATAGGAAGTCACTATATAGTACAATATTTTATTTATATGGGTTCAAAGCATTTAAATTAGAAGTAAGCAACTAGGATTCAGAGGAGTTGTTGGACTTCAAAGCATAATTTTGCACTCATTTTATCCTAAAATGCATTTCAAAAAGCAATATTATGTTATTGCTTATTTGATTTTTAAATACATTGAAAAAGCTTGTTATGCACACACACATTTTAGTGCATTACATTTGTCACCCTGTAGCTTAGTGTCTAAAGCAGAGCGTACATCAAGTGCTAGCTATAAAGCAGGATAAATGGTAAAACAGCAAGCAAATTACCTTAACAAAACACACTAATTTTTTAAAAAATAGGTTGACATGGTGATTTACATAGGTTTTTAAAATAACACCCATTCTGGTGTTAATATGTGTGTAAGTTATTTTTTTGGGGGCAATATCTATGTAGGTTTTTTTTTTTTTTTTTTTGAGGGGAAGAAAAAAAAAAAAAACCTTTTCGGTTTTGAAGATTAATCACAGTCTTTGTTATTTGTGTATTAATTAGGAAGAGCTTAAAAGTTAAAAAATTAAAAGTGATTTCCACAATGTTATTTAAAAATCTATAGACTAAGCATAATAAATATTTATATATACTTTAAAATTGATATTAGGGCCTACTGAAATATATATTTTTGTACCTAATAAATATATATCTGGAACTTCATAAAAATTTTCCAGGCTATTTAAATGTATAAGAGCATTGTTAAATTTATCGATAAAAGAACACAATGCATCTTCTAAAAGTAATATGTATATGTTTAAAGCAAGATAGCTAATTTGTGGAATATATTCTGCTTGCTTGTACAAATATATAACCTCCAATTTTTGTAATTACTTCAGTGTTCTGTGTTAATGCAATATTAAACAAAAATCAAAATGTCTTGTCATTGGGATTATTCTTGTGGCATTGTTTGACATTTGTATTTATTTTGTTTATTGTGAATGTGTCATATTAAAATGTTAATCAAGTTACAGTGTTAACTTTATTGAAAATGTGATTAGAAGTACATAATGCTTTTTTTTTTCTCGTTTGGAAGAAAGGGAGTTGCTCATTCTAGCATTTTTTTCCCTTTTTGTTGTGCTTAATAATATGAAGCCTTTGTTGAACTGCATGTGGTTTCTTTTGAGACTATATCATTAGTAACATTTTCTTATTTAGTCATTGTATAAAAATACATAAAATAAATAAAAATTTGAAAAAAAGAGTATTTTATTGTCTTTAAGCATCAAGTTTATAAATCCTGAATATTACAAACTGTTAAATATTTTGTTTAATATCAACTTCAATATATGTTATGTAGACTACAGAAATGCATGATGAGCAGCTAACATGCATAAACAAAACACTGTGCTTCTTTACTAGCATGATGGCTATATCAGTTTTAAAAAAGGAACAAAAAAAAAAAAAAAAACTCTTAGAAGTTTCATCTTGAGCATGCATTTAAGCTGTTTCTGATCGTAAAATGTTCTCATTTTTCGTAAACTTTCTTACAATGGTTTGTGCGAGTGACATTTGCTTTTTCTTATGCTTCGTATGCATTAACTACATGGAAAGAGGAAAGAATTAAATTTTTTATATGCAGTTTAAATATTATACACAATTAAGAATAGCATAAAATTCTAAAGAATTTCATAATATAAGAATTTTGAACAAATTGATCCAAGTCCAGTGTTCAGATTTTTTTTTTTTTTTTTTAAATATATAATACATCATAGCTGCCAACTTTCCTCATTTTTCCATAACATTCCTGTCTCTTGCAGATCACCAGATCTCTTGATTTTTAATTTTTAGCCCTTATTAAGGAAAAATGTTTGTTGACCTATGTGTGAAGCTTCAAGTAATGCTAAATCAGTGAATATTTGCCTTTAATTTTGTTTTATATCATTACATGGCACATTACTAAATTTATCCGTATGATAGTATGTGCATTTTATTTTCACCTTGTTTTAAAATACAATGATTAATTAAAACTTTGCTTAAGTGCAAGAAAATTATGAAATGCAATCAACCAATGTAAAATTTAGGTAATCTGATTAAATATTGATAATATGTTTTACAACGTAATCATACTATACTGTTAAATAACCTGAATCATACATTAAAAAATGAATTTTAATCAATTTGGAGTTCTCCCCAAATGGTGTATCCTTGCAGCACAGAAACACTGTGAAAATTCCCTATTTTTTATATTTCGAGGTTGGCAGTTATGAATATATTTTTTCAACTTGTTTATTTGCAGAATACATTTTCAGTTTAAAGATTAAGATATCTATATATTTTTACCACTTCAGATGTAGATAGTAATGAATGCACAAAACATGAGAATCCAACTAAATTCTGTTGTTTTCTCATGTTTTATTTATGATCTGAATGAAAATGATTCTCAGAGATAGCAAAAATAGAACTTAATCAAAGCTTTAACATGTTGTCTTCTGACAGGTGAGCGAGCCGTAGTATTTTATTGTAAAAGTAAACATCAGTTTTCATCAGTGCACTTCCTCCATCATATTTCTCTCAAAATATGTGCACTCGTGTACGAAGTTAAGAGAATAAGCATATTATATCAAATTTTTGAAGAAATTTGATTTAGATAGATTTAAATGAAATTTGGTATGAATATACATTTATAATATTAAAAAATTCTTTTAATGAATACAAACAAATTCCATATTCTTTCTTCCTAAATGCATAGTATAATTCCGAGCTCCTGCTACTTTAAAATTAACGTGTGACAAAAGTAGCTCTAGAAGCACAATTGCAAGATGAGTACATACTTATATTCTTAGAGAGTTTTAGCTATGATTATGACATAGAATTTTTGAAAAATCCAAAATATAGGAATACATCGGATAGTGCAAATTCGGTATAATAACTGAGTGAAGTAGTGCTGTTTCCTTCTTTAGGCAACTCGTCAATCAATTAAGGTGATTTTTTTAATCATATAAAAAATTTTTACTGCCTATCGAAAGATAACTTTTTTGTTTTAAATTAGCAACTTTGTTAGCATGGCAAAAAACTGTATTAAAGTGGATGTTTGAAATACATTATAAGAGTTTTTCTGAATATCACTGTTCATTTTTTATATTCTTTTAAATATTCTGTTATAGTTCTAAATCTGAAACCATAGCAAAGACTAAGAAAATTGCAAAAGGATTTTAACTAGTTTTTAGTCATACTGTTGGATGTCAATGAGATCTTGTTTGATGGCTGATTCCATTATGGAATAAAGCTGTAAAAACCGGTAAAATGATAATAAAATGAGCGTTCAGCAGTCATACATTGCATGATAAAATGACGATGATGAACGCTGTTCATTTTTACTTGATTATTTTGTGTGCGAGTGAAAAACATAAAATTGCAGTCGTAAGATTATGGTCTGAAGACACAAAGGAGAGTTTACCATAAAAATATTTAAATATTAAAAAATATATAGTTATGTAACATATGACGTTTGAAGCAGTTATAAGAATAAAACTGGAAATGTTCATGAAAATTATTGTTTAGATATTAATTAAATGTTGTAATTTAAATTAATGGAACGTATGATTTAAAAAAAGGAAAATGTTAAACTTTGGAAAGTGCATTTATTACTTTTAAATCACTCAATTTATAAATTAATAACAGGTTGCTTAAATTTGAAAAATAAATTATAGATCTTATGATTTTCCCAGTAGCAATACTTTGCAAACCAGTAATGTCCGAATATATGTGGATGGTAATTAGTGATCTTCTTTAATGGACTGGTAACATTTGGAAAGAGCTGCTGCTTAGTTCTTTCGATTTTTCTTTGGGTGGTGAGGTCAGGAAATTTTATATGTTAATTGAAAAAAAGATCTATTAAACTTTTAGATATAGTTAAGTAGTTAATTTTGAGGATTTTATCATGTCATTATAGGTTATGATTCTTTTTTACAAATTCATGCTAACTGCTAGATTAAATTACGATTATTCCTGCTGCTCATTGTATTTGCATTCACCAGCGGCTGAGCAGTAAAGTCGCTGAACACTGGTAGTTTGACCTGAGCTCGATTCTAGAAAACTGGTTGGCTGCATGTGTAACGTGGATACGAGCTAGCTTTCCCTTAGCGAGGAATATCTCAAGGGAGAAAGAATGTCCCGTATTTACATTACATTTTCCTGATTTTCAAATCGTATTTATCGACAAGTGGCAAAATGTTCCTTCTTATTTCTAGAATATTTACTAACAACTTACCTCTTCGTCATATAGGTTGGTTTTTCGAAGACCATGCGCCATGCAGAGACCTTCATAACTAATTTCACTCGGCGATTTCCACCCCATTATCGTTTGCGAATGAATTTTCGCTTCTCGAAGTAATATCATCACCACACGAGGTCTGGTTGTAGGATCATCCTAGAAAAATAAGAAATTAAGAAACTTCCTTTAGATACATAATGTGATGATATAAAGAAAAAGAGAAAATTAAAAGAATTTTGTACTTTAAATTGCACAAATATCGAGAAGAAATATATCTTTTTTCTTTTAATGACTAATTTCTGTTCTGTATTTATCCTAAATTCTTATGCAGCACTTACTTTAGGAAACAGGAATACAACCTATAGATGTGTATTACGATTACAGTTCCCGATTGAGGCCATGTAGGACCCCAGTGCAACATTCGTTGCCACACTCTGTCTTTTTTTTTTTTTTTTTAAATATATATGAAAGGAAGAACTTTAATGAATTATAAGATGATTTGGGGATTCTAAACTCCCATCTTATGTGTTTAAGCAGTAAATTAGGGCCTCGGTATTAGTAGCATAAGTACACGTACTTAAAAAAGAGTCAAACCCACTTACTAGCAATATAATATCTCGAACACTTCTTGGCACATAGTCAGGTCCTACATATTCAGCATTTGTAATATCATCTCGAATTTTTCCTTGTATGAGAACCATATCTGTAATGACATCATGAACATGGAAGTTGGTGATATCCTTCAACTCAGGAAAAATGCCGCTTTCTAGGTGTATTTTAATTTTTTCATCGGACCATTTCTGGAATGGAAAGAAAGAATCTATCAATGCCTACTATCAGAGTGGTAACAGCTGCCACATCTCCCGGTTTTTCATCATATCTCCCAGCAATAAATAAAATTTATTGAATTAATGAAACTTAAATTAGGAAAACTGCACCCCTCACCTCTAGTGAATTTCAGAATAATTTTTCTTCTTAAATTTTATTTCATTTGATTTGTGCATTTTATTACTTTTGCATCGATCTTATTTTCTTATTAACTTTCATTTGATCTGAAGTTGTCTTAATCTACTATTGGCATTTGTAGATTTTCATATGAATATTCAAGCAATGTTTATTAGTTATGAATTATCTTGCATTTTATTTTTATTCATTAAACTGTTGCGAAATGCCCAGCTGCAATGAGAAAGCTTCCCCGCGCCAGAAAGCGGCAGAGTTGCCATATTTGCGCGATATCGCCCTTTTGGCGATGTTTGGCAATAAAATTGGCGATATGCCTTAGACGGAGCGAGAACGCATTCTTGGTAATTTTCTCGAGAATGTTCTCGAAGGTAGATTAAAGCTATATATATCCTGCCTGTACGCATAGTAGGGGTATCAGTATCAGTAGTGGACGCGGCCCGACCCGCCTAACCAAACAAGTTGATATCATGGTCAGGCCACGCCCATTTCAACAAAGGAAAAAATTGAAACATAAACTATCTAAATGAGAATAATCATGTGTTAATAAAAATACAAACATAAAAGTGAAGAAAAAGAACAAATATAAACATTTAAAGAAAAACAGACATGAAAGACAAAAAAAAAAAAAAAAAAAAATACCGCGAACAACAAACACAAGCCATGGTAACAAATTAGTAAAATAGACCAAAAGTAATGGCAATAAAAAGCAAAAATTCTACACTGATTCCCATTGTTCGGCGCTCACCGTTAATAATTTTCATCACAGATTTATATAATTGTGCGAAATCTTTATAGCACAAAAATGGATTTTCTAAATCAATATTTTTTTTCCTTAAGCTGTTAAAGAAGGGAGAGACCTCGAGGAAATGCTTAGCATCACCAAACAGACCACATAGTTTACATTTATCGTCGTTCTGTATCTTACACCTAGCGAAGTATCCCGGGGAAACGCCCATGTCCGATCAGAAACTGGTTAACTTTCAAAATCATTGAAGATAATATTCTTTTTCTTAGTCAGTGTTAAGTGTTTCAAATAACGACTTTTCCTTTCAGAAATATTCCATCGTAACTGCCATTGCTTAAAATAATACGAATAAATAACTTTGGTAGTACAGTAGTGGTATCTTAAGTTCAGTACTATAGTAGTAGAGTTCAGAGGTTAGCATGAAAGCAATTTACCAAGTCCGGAGCTGTATTTTAGTGCTTTGCCGTGAAGCTGTCTTTACCGTTATAACCTGAAGGCTGTGTTGTTGATTGTTTCAGCGTGTTTATCGTAGTTTTTCGACGACTGTAAACGTGTCTTTGAAACTTTTATTGTAATAATAACGAATTGTGTTTTGATTCTTCATCAAGTGTTAGCGACAATTAATCTAAATCCACGAACCCGTAGAACGCAACAATACTAAGTTTTACACATTACAACAACATTACTGAGTTTTACACATACAAAACTATGCATATTAATAATTATTTTCATCGTATTTATTAGTTTGATAAATAATGTTTCACTAATTGCGATTTACTTAGTATAAAATCGTAAGAAAGCTGAAAAATGAAATTAGTCAGAGAACGCAAAGTTTAAACTACCTAACTAAACGCTCGGTTTTTAAGATTTCAAGGTTGGCAGCTATGAGTATGGTATATTATGCAAAAGTTTTACCTGTATAAATTTCATTGGAATATTAGCAGTTTCTTTGTAATTTGACTGAAAATGTACTAACCTCGTAATTTTCCTCCTTAGAAAGAATTATAAATCCTATATCTAAAGCTATATTTCTCCACATATCGTAAGATAGGTCTCCAAATTTTTCTTCAGCTTCTTTGAGAACAGCATAATCGATTTCAAGTAGCTACAAGATAATATACTTGGTAAGAATTTAATATTATGACTGGAATAATTTTAAGTAACTGCATGCAGTAATCATCAGCAACTTGAAAAAATCCGAATGCAATTTAATTCTGTGAATAATAATTCTAAAAGAACAAATAATTCATGTAAGTAGCACAGCAATGGTTACTTATATCATTAAACAGATAAAATTTTGAATGATGAATGCAGAATTTGATCGAAGGATAATAGTGAAAACTGAAAGAAAATGCATTTAGTGAGTAAGAAATTTCTTAAAAGTGTAAAAAGCTTATTCAAAGATAAATTTTGCTGTGCATCTCGAATCAAATACACTGGTTTCCAAAAATTAAAGAAAAATCACAAAAATAGTGATAACTCTTTCATAAATAAGCAATCTGTACAAAATTTGCAAAAATTTGTAAAAATGTTGTCAAATAAGATTTGCTGAGTAAAACTGCAGTATACAAATTTGTGGCACTGCAATCGGAATGTGTCATCTGCGAGAAGCATAAAATTGCATGTTTGGAGTCAAGCCTGCAGGGATACTGAAGTAAAAAATCTTGGATAACCAATTCGTAAGAAGGACCTCCAAGCATCATTTGCTCGAAGAACTACGATGGAGAGCTACTGGGAGACTAGAAGCAGGACAAAGTCAGACAGAAGTAGCCAGATTACTAAATGTGAGTCCTTCTGTGGTTCATAGACTTTGGCAACAATATCTAACCACAGATTCGGCATCCAGGAGGTTCAGTTAAAGATGGCCAACCACTACGAAGAGCACCGATGGCCAATATTTGTTGTTTAGCCCACGAAGGAATGGAACCACAACTCAACGGAGATCCTCTCTTGCTGTAGCTAACGGAAGGTTGGCATCAACGGGAAACGTGCATAGAAGCATCACGAAGGAGGTAGGAGTTTTTTACGTGATCTAACCAGCCATTTGCGTGCCGCTCACATCACGTCATAGAGGGAAGGTTTGAGGTAGACATATCCACTGAACAGCTGATCAATGGAGGGCTGTTCTCTTTAGAGATGAATCCAATTTTAGCCTCTTAAGGGATAGTAGGCGTTATTTGATTTGGAGAGAACCTTGAACCCCTTATCATCCATCAAACATCCGTAAAAAATATGCATACGGAAGAGGCAGTATCTGTGTTTGAGGTGGTATCCCTTTAGGTAGACGCTCAGACCTCCATGTCTTTCCACATGGAACCGTGAATACTCAGGCCTATAGAGATGGCATCCTTGATGCTTATGTACGCCTCCATGCTGGGGCAAAAGTTGATAATTTTCTGCTACAGGACGAAACAACTAGACCGCACAAGGCTATCATCGTGGATGATTATCTTCAGCAGCAAACATTCAGCGCATGGAGTGGCCAGCTGTATCACCGGATCTGAGTCCTATCGAGCATGTTTGACATGCTTTATGAAGACGTATAGCTACTCTGAGCCCTCCACTTCAGACGCTTGCAAGTGCTTTGCAAAAGCAATAGCTCTCACTTTCTACATAAAGGATAGACTGCATAACTGACAGCATCACGCATCGCTATATGTGCTGTATTGCTTCTAAAGGAGATTATACTCCGAATCGAAGGTAATTTTCCTGTACCAAACTGATACATCAGATTTGTTCATTTTATACATATGCTGATTTCTGTAACACCATACTTGTCTGGTAGTTTTTTTTTTTTATACCTTACTATGCTTTGTACTCTGTGGGTTAGTTTCATTAAATTTTGCATGTAACGTTTTTGTGATTTTCCTTAATTAATAGTAGCCAATGTATTTAGCATCTAACATTATCAGGTGCAGGACTCAAACTGCATCAAAATATATGTTAATTGTATTAACCTTTGGTTTGCCCTTTATGAAAGCTATAGGTGAACAGTTATATGGCATTAGTCTGTAAGAAATTGTATTATGACATTAGTCTGTAAGAAAATTGCAGAGTAATGCCGTGTCTGTAATTTCGAATCGGGTTGATTTCGAAAATATACGATAGACTCTGACATCGGCAAAATGTTTATACACAGTAAACCCTTGCCGAACGCGATAATGCGTATACGCGTTATCTTAACTGTTTCCATTTAATTTGTCCAAACCGAGAATTTCAGTTATACGCGGTATACTGCAGAGCATCGGCAGCGTTGCGATAGGCCTGTTTAATGACTGGTTTGAAATTCATTTATTAAAGAAGTCTACTACTTAGAAACAGCAAAGCCTGAGCTATAAAGTTCTCCTAATTCTTTATAAGTCTTTGGTGTTGTTCTAACAAAAATTAATTTTGGAAAGTTATCGGGAAAATGTTGATATCAGTGTGAACGCTTTAAATAGAGCGCTAGCAAAGTGCTGCAGGAGAGTGATGTATAGAAGAAAATAATGCTTTTTAAAAATAAATGTCATAGAAATTTAAGTTATATCTTTAACGAATGAAGAGTCTAATATCACCTAACACCCATTTTCGTTATTATCTGAGTTATTGTTCTTTTAACGCTTATATTATTATAATTACCACTTTTGGAAGATATGGAAATTAGTTTAGAATTCAAATAACAAAAATCAGCGTTACATGGGCAAATTTTCACAGGACTAGTTTCAATGGTTTTACCGAACCATCATCCTCAGCTGCCAAAACGTAAATGAACGAGATAAGATATAGTGATTAGATAAAATAAGAATTGCTGTACAAGAGTTAAGCTACTGGAGCCATCTATTGATGAAACCAGAACTAAAACGTAATTTCCTTAAAGGCTGAAGGCAAAGATGAATTGGAATTAGGGTCGATAATTAGAATAGAAAGATTTGTTTGAATGTGAAATGCCTTTAGAAAAATCTAATTCACCAATGGAGGATGCCTTTTGAATAATTTTGGCTGCAGAAAAATTGAAAGTGGAATTTTCGGACCAATAATATTGGGCAACAGAGGACTTCTGTGTTTCCTTTTTTCTAACATATGCCTCATGTTCCTTAACGCGAAGTTTTAGAGCTCCTTTAGTTTGACCAACGTAAATTAAGCCACACTGGCAAGGAATTCTGTAAATACCCCAGGAATTCATATCCGGAATGAGGTCCTTGAGTATGGAACTGGGACTTTTATTGATAGGAGAATAAACGACCCGTAAGTTAAATTTCTGCAAAATACGTCCAATTTTATAGCTAATTAATTAATGGAAAGAAAAGGATGACAACAGAATTCTTATATATTTATCTAATCACTATATCTTATCTCGTTCATTTACGTTGTGGCAGCCTGCAGATGTAACGCTGATTTTTGTTGTTTGAATTCTAAATTAATACTTGTTCGGTGTGTTATTTTATCTTAAGATATGGAAATGTTTTACGAAATATGCAGTATTACTTTATTAAAATATAAACTGCATAGATTACTCCATACTTTTAATAGAAATTTAATAGTTGACTCGACTAAAAATATGTACGACAGGAAGTGCTAAAATTCAAAAGAAACAAATTCTTAAATTGAAGCTTTTAAGGCAATTTTGGCCGAGAAAATATTGCTTAGCCGAAGTATCGTGAAAGTTTCATCTTTCGAACGAAGTTTTCACAACAACTAACTCGAAATAAGAAATAATTACCTCACAAGCTGTGGCTGCTGTTACAGAAGTGACAGTTGGCTCTTCCAGCAAATATCCAAGAAGACCTATAATTTCTGATGTAGTAACATACTGAGAGAAAATCTCATTTCTCATGAAATACCATGCGGAATGAATATTGGATAAGATGCTAGATTTGAAACCATCATTTTCACCTGAAATCTGTAAAAAATGGTAAAGCTCATTTTGAAAGAATGATTTCTTTGCAAGTGGTATACTTCTTTAAAGTTACAGATTTCATTGTTTTTTTTTTTTTTTTTTTTTTTTTTTTTTTTTTTTTTTTTTGTGATACATTTTTATTAATTTTTTTTTTTGGTGTATTTGATTTTTGATACATTTTTATTGATTTTTTTTGTGAATGTGATACATTTTTATTGATTTTTTTTAATATATATATATATAAAACTAATCTGCATAGCAAAATCTGTGCCGTTTTTAAATTTAATGTTTAGTGCTCCCTTTAAGCATTTTCCCGGCACATTTTGCCGCGTAGCAGCTAAGATGAAATAAACATATGTTTCACATAAAGAAGAAATGCTTTGAGCACAACAATAATTAAAATAGATTCAACGAAATAAAAGCCTCTAATTTACAATATAAATTTGTAAGAATGCTTTAAATAGTTATTTAACTTAGTTATTAATTTAAAAATAAAAATATTATTTTTTAAAATTTGCAATTTTGGGCTAATCTTTGGAATATGGTAACAGGTAGTTTGGCGACATTTTGGTAAGGCGATAAAGGTTACTAGCTAGGACTTTAGCAATAATCTGAGAAGTACACAGTTCGAATCACAGATTATTTTGTCTCAGAGAAATGAGAGATCATGAGACATGTAATGTGACATTTTCCGGAAAATTCCAATCGGAATTTTAGCTAATAAGCATTTAGAAACAATTTCGCTGCTTAAGTGCAGAATCGCCCACTTATTTGTTTGGCGCTTTTTACAAAAGTAAGAAGAATTGGATTTTTGTCAATTTTCTTTGACTTTTTAAGTGAAAATAGGTCGATGTGTACATGGATAAAATCAAGAGTGTGCGCAACGCCATTTTTGTGCAATTCTGGGATTTTTTTTTAAGTGAAAATAGGTCGACGTGCACATGGATACCGTGTATATGCAATTCTTAAAAACGCGGCAAGCAGTGGCCGGTTCTACACTTTCTTCCAATTTCGCACCTAATCTTCGTCATGATTAAGCACTTTTGTTCCATAAAAGTTCTAGCATAAGCGTAATTCGGCTAGCAGATTGTTGGAAAAAATGTTGAGTAAAAAAAAACCAAGCCTTTACTTCGTGAAAACAAAATGGCGTCAAAAAAAAAAAAAAAAAAAAAAAAAAAAAAAAAAAAAAAAAAAAAAAAAAAAAAAAAACTAGCAGGTTGCTGTAGCAGGGTTGGTCGCCAAAGTTTCGCCAAAAAATCGCCAAGTTACCATAATTCGAAGATTCACCCAATTTTGTTCTAAGTAAAACTTCCTTATTCTTTTCTAACCTAACTAATATGTTTAGAAAAAGTGTACTAATTTTTTTTTTATATCTGGGAAGAATTTTATATCAGAAGCCAAGCGGTAAAGTCGCTGAGCATTAATAGTTCGACCTGGTTTCAAATCCTAGTGGACGAGATGGCTTCATGGGCGTTAAAAAAATTCATGGAATAAAAGATAAAACATAGATATTTATCTGTCTAAGACTTAATAAAAGCTTCTATGTGGCATTACCTCAGACATCTGAGCAGCGTTACCACTTGTTGCTTTACTGTTTCATCAAAACATGTCATTTTATATTAAATAGACATTGATTTCTTAATTATATGATATTCTTCATTTCCAGACCCTTTTTGATTTTAATTTATTTTATATACCCTTTACAATGTCGCTGAAGGTATAGAAAGGAAATTTCTCGAGAAATCTTTCATTTATACATTTTTTAAAAGATGGCAATAATAATAATAATATACAAATAATAATGAAATTTATGTAAGGTTTGAAATACCTGTACGACTCCTTTATAAACAATCCGTAACACATCTTCTACGTATCCAACATCTTGTATCAAAGTATCTTTAGAATATGAACGTAATACACAATTTTGCTGAAACCACAAAAAAGTACATATATACTTATTTTATTTATAAGTCAGATATGAATGCGGCGAAAGAACTTTATAAGCAATAGAAATACTTTTAAACCCTAGGATTTAACAGATATTATTTTCGGAAAAGAATGTATATATAATAGTTTTGCATTATATACAGCATTCTTGTCATCAAATATGAGTCTAATAATTATTATTTTTTTGCGAAACATTGGAAGCAGATAAAATAACAGAAACACTTGTGAAACTTCTATTATTAGTTTATAAAATAGAAATGTTAAATTGATTAGTTCTTTCTAATGAGGATCTGTATTTTATGTTACTGGATAATGTCTTTGAAATCATAAAAAATTGTGTGCTGTGTAAAATATCACTTTCTGTTAATTTAAAAATATTGCAGATCATTTAACGAGACAATCAAAAACAAAAAAATTGGATGTGTACACCATATGACTTCGTTGTGCGGAATGTTAAATTATACGCATTTTTTCCTGCATTTCATTTAAACTTATTTCCTCGAATTTCATTAGAGATAACTTTCTCATTCAATTAATCAATTCTCACTTCACGACAAGGCAAAACTACATAAAACCTCAAAATATCTTTATTAAAAATTAGAAAATATAGAAAAATATGAAACATCAAATACAGTTAAAACAATTAAAAAAACAATTTTTACAATTAAAATTAGAGTTTCTACGCAAAAACAAGCAATGCGGCCAGCAGGCAAAAAGACAGATTTTTCGGTGTACAAAACTTAATATTTACTTTTGCTCCCACTCGGCAGAAAGACACTGAAGGGGCGGAAGCTGACTTAATTCAAAATTCTGCTAAGTTTCAACTGTAAACAAACATGGCGGTTATGGTAAAAAATTAGGCTTAGCAGCACTTAAACAACTTTTAATTATACAACTTATAATGATAAATCTACAGCTTCTGCATACAGATTAGTTAAAGGCATAAAAACCGTAATCGAAAGATAAGAATAACATAATATCATAATTAATCACTTTTAAAGCAAAAAATTCACAATTTACCAACATATGAGAATAATAATTTAAAAAAAAAAAAAAAAAAAAAGACTTAGCACACGGAGCCGAGTAACAGAGTGAGTATATATATATAAGAAAAATAAAGAACATGTGAAAGAATCGAATTAACAGCTTAAATTCCCTTCTGTATTGTAATAACAATATATATATATAATATATATATATATTTAGATTTTATTTTTGAATGTAATGATCGGAAAATTCCCATTCTAAGCAGTTAAGTTACGGAAATACTGAATGTTTTTCATCATTAAGATGTACGGATCATTTGATCACATTCTAAGCAAGCAGCAGTTAAGTTAGAGAAATACTGAATACTTTTCATCATTAAGATGCACGGATCATTTTGATCATTATACTAAACATGTAAATAATCGCATTTATCTGTATGTGTTCGTAAAGTGAAATAAATTGGATATAAAACGAAGTCTGATTTCGAATCAAAACAGCTATATAAAAATCCAACATATATCCTACGTGGCGCTTTCAAGACATGAAAAACACAAGTTGAATTTCGTCAGTCGGTACAGTAGAACTGGTGATATAGAACTATCCCCTCTTTTTTTTTGTGCAAGTTTACATTAAGATATAATAACACGCGGAACAAGTATTAATTTAGAAGTCAAACAACAAATTTGCGCTTTTGCAGCTGAGGATGATGGTTCGGCAAAACCATCGAAACTAATATTGTGAAAATTTGAAAATATAACGTTGATTTTTGTTGTTTGACTTCTAAATTAATCAAGTTTACGTTATTTACATGCTCAGTTTATCAGGTTCAGTGTTTCTCCTTACTTGCTTGGGGAACATTCAAGAACCTGACTCGGAACAGGGAGCTTACTAAAGCTATGTTTAATAAATGTGGGAAGTAGACAAGATACACAGGAAGGTATACGAAACCCTTTATTTTTCACTCTTTACAAAATTTCCGGACTTCGGAATACAGAGACCAACCACTTGTGGTCTGAACGTAAGATATAAAAATATTAACTAAACTCTACTTACTTTGATAACAACAAGGGCCTACGTAAAGATTGGCCGTAATTAACAGGAAGCCGTATGTAGTCAGAGAACTGTTAACACTACAATACGTTTAAAATTATCAGAAACCAGCAACCGAGTAAAACTTCTAAGGCAGCGGCGCTTCGACTAACTCCTTCCTCTCTCTCGCTTTGCAAAAGCCACAATTAAGTACTTGGCGTTCGCCAGACAAATTTGCATAAATAAGTTAACGCTTTTAATTCTGGCCGGAAGTAGAAAATAAGAAGTGATAGTAAAGATTTAAAATAAAATAAACGTTAGTAAAACTTAAGATCCTTACAAGTTCAATAAAAATTACAGCTGAGACATGCAATGTCCGAAATTGAAACGTAAATTACGTAGAGATAAAAAATTGACGGATGGTAAAATGTACAGTTACCAGACGACGAGAGTTCATTTTTGTGTCTAAAGCACTGACATCTGCTCCAATGCATCCAATCCATTTGCATCCCAATGAAAACATTATCCAGATTTCAGTGCCTTGAAATCTGGATAATGTTTTCATTGGGATGCAAATATTTCTGGATAAAACAAAAATAATTTTTGGATCATATGAGCAATCTCATTAACACATATTCACATTACTCGCGACTTCCCAACAGATTTACTGCAAAGTGTATTCGATTTATTTTTCAATAATTTAAACAGTCTGCTGATCGAACTCTTTGCTGTTACGTTTCGTTTTATTTCTTCGGAGCAACTATAGTTTGTCGTGCAGAGCTAGGTAATTCAGGAATTGTAATCTGTTTTAACACTGAAACTGATTTTCTATAAAGAGTCCCGTATTTTCATTTTAAAAATACGATCACTTTAGTAATGATAAATATTTGCCGGCTCCTTGTTGTTTGCAACGTCCCTTAAATAGTATTATAATTACGCGGTGGAAAATGAATGTGATTAGACGTATATTTCTTGCCCAGAAGACTGATATTTTAATTAAGGATTTACTTAATTAAAGTGATTTTCACTTCAGAGATTTGTGACATTTTACTAAGGATTCCGAATTCAAAAAGAATTTATGGATGAATTAAAGTAATAAATAAAGGTAAATTAAAAAAAAAAAAAAAAACACAGCAACTTTAAAAATGACTGGGATTACTAATGTTTAGAACACGTAAAATCTTTCTTTCAAGCCCCCATTTTCACTACTTGCCACGATAAAATTCGTGGGCATGTTCTGATCAGGTCGGGCAAATGAAATCAGCCACAACCACAACACGTTTTGTTTGAAATTAGCGACAAAGATTGAACTGCATTCCAGTTATTAAATTTCAAGTAAGTCTGCCCCCCCCGATCATTGTAGATTTACAAGGGCGAGTCAACTGAAAGTGAGCCAATGCGAATATATGACAAACAGAGTACTTTATTTAAAGGTAGTCTCCATGAACATTGAGACATTTATCCCATTGACAAATGAGCCGCGTGATCCCCGTCTCATAAAACTCCTTGGGCTGTCGATTCAAAAAGTCTGTACCGACTCCTCACGGCGTCGTCCGACACGAAACCTGTACCCTTGAGATGTTTTTTCAGTTTCCCGAAAAAATGTGAAAGTCGCATGCGACAAATCTGGACTGTATGGAGGATGTTGCAGCGTGTCCCACTTGAACTTTGCAGTTGTGTCTTAACCACATCAGTGACGTGGTGACGAGCATGTCGTGTAGCAAGATCACACATTCGTCAATCTTCCAGGTCGTTTGTTCTGATTGCGCACGCAGCCGATCCAGCGTTGCACAATATCGCGAACTATTGATAGTCTCTCCACGTTAGCAAATTCAATCAGTAATTGCCCCTGACGATCGAAAAAAAGTCAATAGCACTTTCCGAGGAAATGACAGCCTTTGCTTTCTTCGGGGTGGTGAATTCAAATGTTTCCCTGTAAGCTTTGCCGGCGTGTTTCAGGTTCGTAGTGGTGGCACCATGATTCGTCCGGTCACAATTGCAGACAAGAAGTCGTCATCCTCATTGTGATACCGGATTGAGATGAGTCAAAAGCAGCTCGAATCTCTCCGTCTTTGGCGGTCGTTCAAAATCTGGGCATCCATTGAGCACACAAAAGCCGATACGAGAGATGATCATGAATTATGGTGTGAACCGAACCGTGACTGATGTCACCGCGCTGCCAGTTCATCGATGCTTATCTCCGTTTTGTCTAATCAGCTCATCACCTGTGCAATTGTGTCGGGGGTGATTGCAGGTGGCTTTGCCCCGGTCTTGGATCGTCTTTGCAACTTTCACGTCCTTCTCTGAACCGTTTGCTCCAACGCTTCACAGTGCCAATGCGATGCAATGTCACCGTACACAGCAGTCATTACGGCGATTAATTTCATGTGCGAAACACCTTCACTGTCAAAACCTGAACACACCACGCTGTTCTTTTGGAGCGTCCATTATGTCACGCTACCGTCTTCAACCCAGTGTAGAGCGCCTTAAAGAACTTTAACCTCACTTTCGCACCACTTCGTAAATGAGGCTTCCTGTGCTACGCGCATGCGCCGCAGATGATGGACCGAACCATTCTTGCTGAGGAGGGGTTGGCTCACTTTCATTTGACTCGCCCTTATACATTATCAGATAAAGCATGCTAATAACTTATTAAGGAATTCAATAATAACCAATTAATACTTTGGAACTCTGTAATCATATAATATCATACTCCTGAAATTTGCAATATTTTTTGCATTTTTGCCTAAATCTTTTTGTAAAAAATCACAGAATAAAAAGAAAGTACACTCACGAGGATCATATCCAGCATTTCTTCATTTTTAATCCACTGCAAATGTTCAAGAATATAACGTGCTCCTGTATGCAGTGGCTTGAATTTTGGTGCGGACAAGGCATCCTTCATCTTCAAATTTAATTCCTACCGGAATAGAACCATTGCATTTAATTTGTATATTTACTGACAAATACTGAGTCGAGTGTGCAAATTAAGCAATAACTTATGTGCAAAATTAAAAGAGAATTTGCAAATAATATCTAATTTTACCAAAGATACTAATTATGCCCCCGAAGAATTATGCAATTATTCAGAGTCGTCTACGTTAGCGGAGCTGTGATTGTGGAGGGGGAATAAGCGCACGAGGAGTTTTCGATGATTTGTGTGCTCATACTCCTTTACTTCTTTCGCCGTGTTTCTCTTAAGAGTTAGGTAAATTTTGTATCAGGTAAAATGAGTATAAAGTATCAGGTAAAATGAGTAGCCACGAACGTATGGTTGAAGGAATGAGATGAAGAAATATCAGTAGATTGGAAGCAGGCCATTCACAAGCGCATGTGGCTACACAGCTCAATTTAACGCCGATTGTCGTCTGCAATTTGAGGAAATAGTTTCAGGGCGCTGGATCCATATTGAGAAAAACCTGGGGAAGGTCGATAAGAACCACAACGACGAATGGGGATCGTTATTTGTCACTTTCAGCGTGGCGACACAGGACTGCTACCGCTTGACAGCTCTTACCTGAGCTGTATTCTGCCATTGAAACCCAAGTTTCACGGCCTACTATTGCCCGAAGGCTTCATGAGATAGGCTTGTATGCCAGAAGATTCGATGTTTCCGTTCCGTTCACTGCAGCTCACAAGAGGGCGCGTTTAGCATAGTGCAGACAACACGCACTTTGGTGCAGACGTGAGTGCTTTTTACCAAATGAATTGAGATTGAGCCTGGACTCTGATTCTCGGTGTACTTGTATCTAGAGAGAGCCTGAAACACGATACCATCCCTTCTCTCATCAAGGAAAAGGATTATTACGGCAGTGAGGTATCATGGTTTAGACAGACCTCTAAATGTGTTTGACAAAGGCTGCCTGACTGCTATGAGGTATACAGGGAGCAGATCTCTCAGCCCTATGTATGACTTTTCAGGGGCGCAGTTGATCCCGGGTTCCTGTTAATGAAAGACAATACTCAACTGGTGAACAATTATTTGGAAGAGGAAGATATTAGCCTCATGGATTGGCCAACTAGATGTTCTGACCTAACCTATAGAGCAGGGGTTCTCAACCTTTGACTAACGTGTACCATCTAAACAAAAATTGAAAACCTTAGTACCTTCACTACAAAGTACTACTTCCACCACCACTCTTGAACTGCGTAAATTTAAGAGTGTTAGAGAAAAAAACTCAATCAGGATATTGGGGTTTTAATTTTTGAATTTAATAGTTAAAAAAACTTTGCTTCTTTGCATACTACCTATTTTTCTCTTGCATACCACCAGTGGTACGCGTACCACCGGTTGAGAACCCCTGATACAGAGCATGTCTGGAATGTTAAGGCAATTTTATCACCCAGACCATCATCATACCCTGTACAGCATATCTGGAACGCTCTTATTTAGGCAATTTTAGCATCCATTTTATCGCCCAAACCATCAAAGCTGCGAACCATCCCAAAGATGAAAACTTCTTTGCTTCAGGAGTGAAATCGACTGCTTCCTGTGTAGTATGCCATCACACTCGCGACCTATCTGGCTGTAGAGAGGGGACTATGCACCCCATTAGGCTCATTTTCAGTTCGATGGGAATTTGGGCACCCTTGCACGATGAGCTTTACTGATAATTATGCCTACATAAAATGACTTAATAATGATGCATCTCTTTCTATGTTATAAATGTATGTTCATACCGAATTTCATTAAAATCTGCCTATTAGTTCTTCAGAATTTCGACATAATCTGTAAATTCTCTTAATTTTGCGTTAGAATGCAATTGTCTCTCAAAATTAAGAATGAAAATTTTAAAATACATTAAAAATTGAATTTTTGCGTCTATTAAAAAAACTAATCCAACAATAACAAAAGGAATTAGAGAAACGATATTTAATATTACGGAGTAAAAATTAGCCTTAATATTTTCTTTCCTGTAAAATGTGTAAAACCCACAATGGAAGTGCATCAGATTTGCATAGCTCACATAGCGTTCTATACAAATCTAGCAGCACTTCAAATAAGCGTTTGAGTAATTTTGGATTCTAAAAGAAAAATTTTCGTCTGTGTGGGTAGGCACTGGTGCATTATATCTTTAGTCTCATTGTCTGAATTAAATTTCTTGCCAAGGAGTACTTTTTCAATTGTGCATTTATCAAGCTGCCGAAGAGTATCCATGATGCAGCCTTATCATTCCTCAATGAATGTTACACCTTTAGTACTATAAAATTATGTAACTGCATGGTACTTCTTCACTTGCGTATTTTATTTTGTTTGCTAACATCATACATTTCCCGTCAAGCAGTCAAACCGTGCTTGCCGCAATGCCTCAAACTAAAAAGAATGGTTTATCTGGAGAACATCAGTTCAATGTGGAACTTTGATGTTATATCGCCATTTTTTAATTTTCCATTCTCCTTCGCAAATATCTATTATGTATATGCTTTTTCTGCTTTGTCACATTTTATTACAAAAGCAATTGATTGATTTCTGAAAAAGAAAATAACAATGATTTAATTATTTTTAAAGTATCTATTTATTTTAAATTTATATATTATTTGAAAGCTTCACTTGGTCCAGAAAAACTGAAAAAACTGCTGTTCGGTCTATGGAACATAAGTAATGAAGTAGATGTTGAAAAAGTAATTATACTAGTCAATTGATCATTTTTCTCACCATTCATGTAAAAAAGAATCTGAAGCTTACATAAAATTTTTACAGCTAAAAGACATTGCATGTTTACCTCTTTTAGAAATTCTGCATCTTCTTCATCTATCATGTAGATGTCTAGCATTTCGTCAATGACACTTTTCATGTCCCTCAAAATTTTAACTGTAGCCCCATGTGTGTTCCAGGCGCAAACCACTTGCGAATGAGTTGCTCCAAAATCATCAAGGTAAGATAGCATCTAAAAGGAAAAGACAGAAGGAAAGATTTAGACTCAATACATTTAGTGGAATATGTACACCGCGAAAAAAAAATATATATAAATAAAAGAGAAAAAAGGGACTTTTCTATATGTGCCGTTCTACTGGGCCGATTGACGAAATTCAACTTGCGCTTTTCGTGTCTCGAAAGCGCGACTTAGGATATGTATTAGATTTATATATAGCATTATTCTAATATAGGTATTTTGACACAAAATCCGGCTTTTTCTGAAATGACATGTATTTTTTTTTTTCCATATTTCGATTCTACGACTCAAATTAATGCCAAATTGCAAATTTTGTAAAACTCGCATGAGTAGTATTTAAAACATTAGCTCTAAAGAATTTAGCTCCTCAGTGTTAATTGAATTTGATATATATTTATTATTATCTCTTTTTTTTATTAAACTTATTTGATTCTTATTTTCACCTTTCGAAATTTAGGTTCATTCCAAATAAAATTCGCCCATTTTCTTCGATTTATTTTTAAAATTTGTATTTTAAAATAATTTTTATAAATATTTCGAAAACATCAAATTGTTACCATCATCTTAAAGTAGATGTATTTCTAAAAACACCTGCAAACAATTAAAGTTTTTTACTTAAAATTTCCGAAAGTATACGTGAATTTATATATTGGCGAGTTTTGAAATTTGGCATATTTTTTGAAAGCGATAATAACATCAGATGTGGTTTAGGCACTTTGTTAAAATTATTTGAAAGTAGGAACGATGTGACTCTTTTTCCGCTCATGCACAATGTATAAAGGTAGAAACGATGTGACATTTTTTTTCCCGTTCCTGTACAATGGAAGGGAAAGGAAAATAGGTTGCCGTACGTTAAGAAGTTCGCCAAGTAAATTATTCTTGGCGCAAACTGAAAAACACGAGCCAAGATATATTTTTGAATTTCTCCGTAAATTTCAGACCAAATTTTACAAAATTTAATATTTAGTTATAATTTGACTCGCAGAATCGAAATATGTAAAAAACATTATATGTTATTTCAGAAGAAGTCCGATTTTATGTTAAAATACCCATGTTAGAACAATGCTATATATAAATCTAATTCATATCCTAAGTCGTGCTTTCGAGACATGAAAACGCAATTTGAATTTCGTCAACGGCCCAGTAGAACGGGAGGTATAAAACTGTTCCATTTTGTTTTTTTCGTAGTGTACATAATATATGACCTTTCCAAAGAATTCAAACAACTTCTTTATTAGTTACCACTATCTCGCAATTCTTAAAACAACTCTATTAACGTTTGAATGATTTTATCTTAGAGAATGCAGAGTTATCAAGCAAATTTTGCGAATGATGATGGAATGTGACCATACCATATTCAAGGGAAACATTAAACACAAATTTGAAATGAAAACAATGAATAGTCAATTGGATACAAGCATTTAAAAATAATATTTAACAGCGCATGCGCGAAACACATCGATGGTTTCCTTTCATTATTTGGTAACCATGTAATCAAAATGCAAATGTATCAAGCATTTAATGGAAGTTCTAGGTGAAAATTGTGCAAATTCAGAAAGATATCTAACGAAACATTGCGTTGCATTGAAATTATTTTCTGGAACCAGTTGGATAAGAAGAGATTTTACCCAAATTGTCACTTTCTTAATTTAATGTTTACTCATTTGCATACTACTGGACTAGTTCACTCACAACAAAAGGGTATTCGATCAATTTAATTCTCATTTAAAGCTTGAATATACACATCCGAATAGCTCCTATAGTCAACCCAATCAATGATCCATTGACGTTTAAAAATATACAGAAAGTTTCCTGAACTGGGTCTATGTATATTACATTTTGAACTGTCGGATATGTTTATCAAGCATATGGAATCAATATTTACACCTTTCGCTTCTCTAGATTAGAGCGTAGCAAGGTTAAGAAAATTCGAGACCCTTGCAAGTTGGGAGATGGGGCCCCCCTAACGAGTTTCTTTTTTAAAATTATACTTTCTATTGCATGGTTAGATTGTTTCACAATTTATCACCAGCAGTTCTTTTATTTCGATTTTGTGGTTGCAAGATTTCAAAAATTTTAAATAAAATTAGAGTTTTAGTGATAAGTTCAGCCTATATTTATTCCTATTTATGTTTGACGGTGACCCTTCACAGGTTCGGGTCGCCTAAATCGGCTCTGAATAAAAGTCATCGCTAAAGAAAAGAAGATACTTTATAATAATACAAAAATATAAAAGAATATGCATTGGTAAAGATAAAACACCATCTGCTACACTGAAAAATAGGCCTACCTCCTTGAAAGATAGAATGTTGTACAAGTGATAGCAAGTGGAAGGATTTATTTGTCAATCGTATGCTATTCCCTGTAAGTTAAACCATCACTAAAGCGCTGTACTAGAAAAATCTGATACAGGAAAAGAAAGTCCTACTCTATTTTACAGAAAAGGAGTGTTTTTTCATGACGCCAATGAAACATATAAAAATTACGTCATGAGATACACTAAAAATTTTAAAACAGTTTAAATGAGAAAAGATGACTTATTAACCATATTTTGCGACCTGGTACTTTCAGCTTAACATCTTGTTAACAAATTTTGAAATTCGTCATATATACTACAAGAGAGTTGGATTCACTTTGTTTGAACAGAATACAAAAGCTTCCATTACTAAGATACAGAAAATTTAAGCTAAGAAGGTAATAAATTATAAATAATAGTGGTAAATATATCTTAAAATAATAGTCGAATTCTTTTTTTATTCTTTGTTTTAAAATTTTCTCTAAATAACTGTATTAGTCTTAAATAAAGAGAAATGACGTGCACTATAATGGTCTACACTGAATGTCGTCAATTCTATAACAATTCTATAATTAATTGATACTTATGTATTATTTCGTCAAGCGTGAAACTGCCGCCAAGCAGCATGATTTAGCGCCAATTGCGGATAAACGTGACATCACAACACTCTTATAACATCTGCGTTTCCGTTTGGATGTAATCGCAATTGATTCTAGATAAGCCACTTTTGCTTTTATGAACAAAGATATAAATTAACTTTCACTGGTGCATTTTTTCTTACATTTTGAAAAAGTGCCGCTCAGACGGTACAGTGGTTAGGGGAGCCTACTGCGGTATCGAAGGGCCCGAGTTTGAATCCCAGAGAAGGCATAGTTGTAACTGTCCGTCTCTCCATAGGAAGCAACGGTGGCCGCCTAGTAGGTGCCTCCACAATAAAATAGCCATCACTTCTGGCTTAGGGGTGGCCAGTGCTGAATAGGGAAGTGGTGAATTTTTTTTTTTTTTTTAAATGAGTTCGAGGGGTGTAGAATCATATTTGCGACTGCATTACGGTTGATTTACAATGACTGAAAGAATTAACATCTTCTGAATAGCGGGAAAAACGGCTGAATATGGCTGACTAAATAGTAATAGACTGAAGCAACCACGCGTGGAAAATTTTTATTAATAGCGTTCTAAAAACAACCTACAGTAAAATCGAAGAACGACAAAAGCCTTTTCACGTAGCGCGAGAAACGAAGCTGGTCGACAGTCCTTTCGAGCGGTTTGTGGTAGGGTAAGAGGAGTGAGGGACCGTCGGGCCCGTCCCGTCGGAGTGCTCTTCATCAAAATCAGGGGCGGAACTGAGGCAAATTTCACTATTACCTGTAAGGTGCTCAAGGCTGTTGCCAACGACAGACATAAACTTGCACTCCTTGCGATAAGGAATTTCGTGGGCTTGGGCTGACTATAGTTCAGACAACTGAGCATTAGCAACGACAGCAACAGTTTTGAATTAAAACTACATACTAAAAGGAATCAAAATAAATCTCTTTTTTAATGCCTAGAGTCCTATTATAAAATCAATTTCAGTTTCAAAGTGGAATTACGCTTCATTTAGAATAAAATTGGCCTACCTTTTTCTAATATACTAACTGATCGTTTGGGATGTAAATGCTGATGGATATATCACAAGTGGTATACCAGTACGCAGTAAGTCATTAAAATTAAAAATACCGTTCAACATTTCATAGATCAAATGACAACTAAAATTGCGAAGTCTAATGAAGTGCTTAAAAAAACGATTTCTTCTAAAAGGAAGAATAACATTATTTTTAATTCTCGAAACGCTTGCAAAATAATTATAAGAAGTGTTTCGTACGGGAACTGAATATAAGTTTATTTCATTTACCTGAAGGATATTTTTGTCTGTGTTGAATGAAACCAAATCATAACTTGGTTCATATTCGATGGCATCTTTCGCTGTCTTTGCGATGTCTTCATTGGCGACAATGAATCCAACAGCTAAGTCATAGGCATTGTAGTATACCGAACACAAGTTATCAATGATGCTTGTAAGAATTCCCGAAAGCGAGACCTAGAAAAATTAGACGCGGTTATTACTATTGGCTTGATAAACCCGAACGATATCAGCTTTTCATCCATAATAATGACGTTTTGTATAATGTTTAAACGCCATAATCATCATGCTACTTCTTAAATATTTACTCGCATTCCTTTAATACACTGAAATTCAGATTATCTATGAGCATACTATAGATCTTGTGAATTATGCATGCATTGCCTCTTCCAGTAAAGGTAATCAAAAGCAAAAAGTACCACAGTGAATAATTATTTACCCTTCCTCTTGTTTTCAGAATGGTAATTTCAAGGGAAGGAGCAGGGTGAGTTGAAATGTTGTGCTTCAACAGACAAAACTGGTGAAGTGTATCATACGTTGAATATCAATCTGAAGGAATGGAATAGCGTTGTGTTATTTAATTTATGAATTTTAATATTTGTGTACTAATTCTAAAGTCAGCTTATTTTAATTATCTGTCGGCACCAGTGTTCTCAGAGATAATTCAACAAGAAGGTTAAAATTAATTATATTCAAAACAACTTCTTAAAAGCAATTTTTTTTTGTAACAACAGCGTTACATGCTTAGTTCTATTTCAAGGTTTGGGATTTTTATTTTAAAGCATTGATTCCTTTTAGCATAAAGAAGGTGTCTAGATTGAGGCACACGATATGTAGTGTTATTGTAGCAAGGTTAGTAATATATAGTATTATAACATTAGTCAATAAACAGTTCGTACTGTTCATCAGTCACGTTAATATGATAGTGTAAATCCGTAATTTATAACTAATCTAAGTAAATTTCAAATATATATCTTGCGCGTAATCACACAGAAAAGGATTTATGGAAATATTTTTGCTACAGTCCTGTACTTAACAGAATCTGTGATAGAGGACTCTTATAATTTACTTTAAACCCAATTTTATTTTATTTAGTTATTATTTTTTTATATGGAAATATCAAATTAAGATTTCTGTTCGTTTTCTTCATTAATTTATGTCTTCATGTGGTATGTAAGGTAAATCTGCAGAACTTCATCATATACCTTACCTCGTGATATTAGACATGGATACATACTTATTATCGTGACCATCTTAGGAGAAAACACCAATAATCAAAATATGCAAAACTCTGGCAAACCAAGCGCATAAGCATTCTTCAAGCAACCATGCTCAAAACAATCTTTCAGTCAAGCAAAATCGCCATTTTCGTATGTATTTATTTAGTTATATTGGAAGTTCAAACGGTTTTTATAGACAAATTGCGACATCTTTTAGCCTTATACTCAATTTTAATTTGTTTATTGGTGGATTTTGCAGCAATGGAAGAAAAATGTGGTAATATTTCTGCATGAATAAAATATTTTGCCGCGAAATCGCTAAAAGGGTCAACGATTAGTTACGTTAGACAGATAGCCCCTTAGCAATGCCGAAGTTGTGCTCGATGTAAGGTTTGCGCAGTTCTTTGATTTTTTAAAGTGAAACCAGATCCCTGTGTACATGGGAAGAAATACAGAGGGAAAAAAATGACAGAAAATCGTGTTTTATTGTTTTAAAGTTATTAATATATCATATAATCCTTATTTAATAATTAAAATTTGTTTTTTTGAATTGCTAAAATGTATTTTCTTTTAATATGTTGATAAAGTTTGCTGGCTTGCGATAAGCAGAGATAGTTTAGGAATCTGTGTATAAGCATTCGCAAAAATAATCAAGTTGCTTCCAATAAGTAACTTCTACATTTCCATCTGTAAAAAATCGCTTATTGCCCCAAGGTGGTTGCATTAACACGCAAGTACCGTGGCATGTTATTCTTCAAAGAATAAAGCATACATATTACCTAATGAGGTCACTGCATTGCCTTTCAAAAGACGGTAAGTTTATCGTAATACGATGAAAACCACTTGTAACCACAGCATATTGCAATGCATTTCGCACTGGCCTGGGAATGGTAATGGTGCTCAATCCAAAAGTGCTTTGCAGTTAAGTAACTGATTTTCGAAGAATTAATATTTTGTTTATTACTAATTTTATTTTGTAAATATTTTTACAAAACTTCCTTCAAAAAGTATTGTAGTTATTAATTAGATTATAAAAACGAATAAGATCAGACATAGTGCAATACAAGTTTCATAGTATTTCAGGTTTTACATTGTTTGCACTTCTTTTATCATAGCAAGTTAGGTTTATTTATGTGTACTTCCTTAAAACATAAAATACAAACCCCTTTGCCCTGGGCCACCGTTAGAGCTGTGGAATTTGAGTCAGCAAAATTAAGAGCGGCAAAATTTTGGAAGAATTGGACTGCAAAAACCTAGCACGCACAGGTCCATTTAATTATATATTTTTCAGTAATTATCCGTTAGTTTATTATAAGTTATCCTTTATAGATTTATCTTGTAGTGCAAGACATTTATATATCCATGTATTTTTTTATTAAACTTTGTAGCCATAATTTTACAATAAATTCTCAATAATTAACGAACAGAGACCATATTGATAATCCTTGAAAGCATACCCCGTATATCTCTTTCTGCTTCTACTTACCTACCTAATATTTCTCGAAGACTTCTTTATACTTGCGTATTTTCGCACAATTTTTCTGGCAATGCAGTGAAAAACTTAACGTCTAGTGCACGCAGAGGCTTCTGATAACGCGTTGTTTAAAATTGGCTTTTGGGATTGCCTTGCATGAGCGTTTTTATTCTGATGTTGCCAATTCGGCAAAGCATAACATTGCTTCCCTTATTTATAATTCACGATCTTTACAATTCTATTACTGTTTCGAATAAGACAATGTTATTCTAACTAATAATTTAAACTTACTCTAATTAGTCGTAGAATCCTGAACAGTCCTAGTCCGAATAGGATGTATAAATCCGTCTTAGGATACAAACCTTCATGCTTAATACCTAAAGCAATAGCTACCAGTGTGTGCACAATAACAATGATAGTCACTAAGAGATCAAATTTGTTGCTGTGACTTTTCATGTAATGGCGGAAACCCAAAGCACCTAACTAAGGAAAAAAAAATAATTACTAAGAAATATTATTTTAAAATTAATATTATTATTTATTTCAAATTTGATAAAAAAAATAAAAATGAGGAATTTTTCATTTTAAATAAAGTATTCAATAAGTAGTAAAATGCATATGTTACTGTTGCCTCCTACGCGGCAATAAAAGTTATGTACAGTTCATTGTTTCTGCGCAATTTCAGTTCGTTAAAATTCGGACTCCTAGCGTAGCATACATGTTTTGATCCCGTACGGTCCGGGCCCACCAGCGGCCGAGCGGTAAAGACGCTGAACACTGGCAGTTCGGTCCGATGTTCGAATCCCGCGAACGGGCCGGCTGCATGGGCGTTTTCGTGGTTTTTCCCCATGTGTAACGTGTATACGAGCCAGTTTCCCTTAGAAAGTCCTCCACGAAGGCATTCCTCCCTTTAAACAGATAGCCCTCGTGTGCTTTGCCATTATTAAATAATCCAATCCAATCCGTATGGTCCGGAATTCATTATTTTAACTTAGATTTTTAGTTGTGATACAGTCCAACAAAATAAAATTTTTAATGCTTCTATTTTTAATGGAAATAATTCGTTCTCTGCTTCATTAAGTTTTTTAGTTGTAAATAAAATCACAGATTTAGTACCTTCTACAAAATTAAATATTGAAAATCTAGATATTCCTGATACATCAAGGTTGGCTGATCCAGAATTTATAACTCCATCTAGCATAGATCTGCTTTTAGGAGCAGAAATATTTATGACTTTTATTAATGGACAATTTAGATCTTCTAGGAAGTCACTCGTTTTCAGAAATTCTGTGTTTGGTTATATAGCTACTGATTCTTTGAAAACGTCGCTTGAAAACTGTCAGAATTATTGTGGACTTTTCGGTAATGTTGATAATATTGATAGATTGGTAGAAAAATTTTGGTCAGTGGAAACTATTGGTGAAGAAAAGTCAATTCGTAGTCAAGAAGAAGAATTGCGCTTTTTTCATCTCTCTTACTTCAAAAACACCTAATATCTATACAGTACTACTCTTCGATATAACTAAACATTTCTAAATTTCTATGCAAATTCTTTCAGTTTTTCTTTATTATTTCACCTTTCACTCTCATCTTATTTTTATTTCTCTGTCTTTTAACTTCCTTATACGAAGTAAAGGAAGTATTGTATTCGCGAAAAATTTCGGGAATCCTATTTCAACGAAACTATCCATTTCAACCTCTGTCGAAACCATTTGAACGATGTTTTTGCGTGACATCTGTACGTATGGACAGAAAAAATAAAATTTTTGCCAAAAAGGTTTGTGAAATGGATTCAGAAGAATTTTTTTTCCTGGACGTCGGTACGTACCTTCATACGTATCTCTCATAACTCAGGAACGAGTAGCCGTAGAACGTTGAAATTTTGTGCACGCGACTGCTATAACTTAGTTGTGTACCTCTCTTCTTCGTTGCAATCGGTTGCACAATCGTATATATAATATTCCCAGTTTGTTACCTATCTCGATGACCTTAGTTTTTTTATTCTTATATATTGTTAAATTGTGCAATTTTTTTTTTTTTTTTTTGCTGATTGAAGTACATGATTCTTATGTTCCGGTTGAGATTTTTATGCCTTTTTCTTAAACCGAACGCAATAGTTGTAGAATTATCAACAATTTAAAGTGGCAAGTTAAGCCTAACCCTAGTGGTATTTGTTTAGATTTGAAAATCAGTAGAATAGTGAATTAAATCAATTTCTGCACCTTTTCTTGTGTGCTGGCCGAATTGCCAGTTTTTGTGTAGAAACTCTAATTTAAATTGTAAAAAAATTTTTTTAACTATTTTAACTATATTTTGTATTTTATGTTTTTCTGTATTTTACAGTTTTTAATGAAGATATTTTGAGTTTTTATGTATTTTTGCTTAGCCGCGAAGTGAGAACTGAATTAATTGAACGAAAAATATATCCCTAGTGAAATTTGAAAAAACAAGTTTAAATGAAATGCAGCAAAAAATATGTATAGCTTAATAGACCATACAAGAAAGGTCGTGGTGTCCGCATCAGAACTTTTTAAGTAATCAAAATCCAGTTGATTAAAGCATACATTTGTTAAAAATATATTACAGAATATTTTAAAGCATATTGAAAGAGAAATGCACCAATGTAACATTCAAAATTAGGCAGAAAAACAAATATAGTTTAGCTTAGATTTTGAATAAAACTCGAGAAGATATATGATTGCATTTGGCTTGCATAAATTTGGGAATGCTAATCTGACGTTTGCATTCAAGCAAAAAAAGTAGATGGCTCAAAAATTTCAGACGCAGGGCTTAAAACTTGCAAAACGGGTCGTTTTCCGATGCTATGTTAATAGATTTATTTAAATCTGCGCCAAACTAAGGCTGCTGTCCTCTCAATAACTAAAGTAGTTTATTGAGATTTTGAGTTTTATCAGCAAGCTTCACTTTGAGTTTTTTGCATTCATAACAGTTGGATGGCCTAAGTTTTATGGCATTAACATCAACCAACACTCTTGAGATTTCTTGGCCTTCTTCTATAAAATTTATTATCCCTAAATTTTCTTTTCCGGTCAGTGGTTAATGTTTTCAGTTCAGGAAGGAAAACTCATAAAACACATTCGGCTGAATGAACCAACTCGAAGCGGATGTGATGGGTTAGCATTGCAGGAACTCTTCCCAGAATTCCGAGCTTTTATTGGAACATAAGTGTTTCACTGAAATCGTCAAGCGTTGGTAGAAGAATTTAATGAAGCTGAATGACATTGCCGGAAACAAACCATAAAATGTGCTCCAAGAATTCTTTTTATTACATTTTATTAAACTGCGCCTTAAGTCTTATTCACACAAGTCAAACATCAATATAAACTAAAGTGTTGTTTCGTTAATGTTACAACATAGTATTTAACTGCAGCGACGGAAAAAGTACCACACACCAACATAAACATTTTTAAGCTAATTTACTTTATGCTAATTAATTTTTGCAATATATATCAAAATAATAAGAAAATTCAAAGGCTTAAAACTAGAGATGTTTTGTGTAAATGAGAAAAATTAATATACCGTATATTCCAACGTCACCTTTATTGGAAAAAACGAGATTGAAATTTACGGGTGCGAGATATATGCAGGATATAAAAATAATCCATTTTTTTAAATGGATTATTTTTTATCCTATTTTAAATCCTTATTTTTTAATAAGGAAAAGATGATGATTAAAAATATTTAGATTTCTACACACACCTAAGTGCTCCTTATCTAAAAGAAATGACATACTTTATGAACATAAAAATTTTCATTATCGGATAACATGAAAAGTTCGTCATATTCGTCTTTCATTATATATTTAGGCACATCATCGAATACTGTTTGATTTTCACCATCACTGTTACTCTGATCAAATTATCAACTCTAGCAGTCTGATAATAAATAATCATCTTCCGTTACATCTAGATTATCAGATACACAACATTTTTTTAATGATTTTTGAATTATGTCCGGTTTAATTCATTCCGTGCTTATATTATTCACTCATATACTATTTCTAGACTGGTATAACGCATTCGGCCTCCTTTTGTAGATGTTCTTTCGCCTTCTAACATCCACATATTCTCCTGTCGTTTTAAAATTTCTTTGAATGTCTTATTCATACACAGATCTAAAGGCTGAACTAATGGCGTTGAACCACTTGGAATAAATTCCATGCCTATGTTACACTCTTTCATCAATTTCTTCGTATAATTTATTTTATGGGATCTCAAGACTTTGTATGTAATTTCTGAAGGCAACAGGACGCTTTTGCCAAACATTTCTTTTGTACAATTTTACAAAGGAAGGAAAAGACAATTTGGGAAATTACATTTCGAAATCGTTTTTCTTTAAAAATTGACCATGCGTTTTAATTTTGTACAGCCCATTAAGCAGGAAATCACAACGTCGAAGTGAGATTTTTCGTGATCTGTTGCTTTTATGAAAACCGTTTTTGTTTCTTTTATCACAATTACTTTATTGCCTACCATATGAAACACTGCTGGAGTTTCATCCATATTTGCAATATGCAACAGTAAATAATTTTTTATTTTTTATTTATGTATTTACTCATTTTATTTTGCCTTTGGAGGTCAATAATATACTTCTGGAAATTTATAAGTTATCACAGTCTTTCGGAAGCCTCTGCGAAACTTTTTTTCTTCTCTTAGAACTGAATTACTCCATGAAATAAATCAACTACTCCAATTTAAAGTTACTTTAAAGTTTTCACTACCTTTTTTCTATTTGAAGGCTGTCTCTTGTAACGACTAATCCTTTCTGGGGATTTTCTAGAACCCTATTCGCAGCACTTTCTCCTACGATAGGCCATTTCGTTACTTCTTTACGCAAAGCACATTATTCTTTGGCATATTAACTATTTTTATAAGTTCATTTTTCTTCCACTCACTTATGGATTTCTTACCGACACCAAACATCCTTGCTGTAGCACGATTTCCATTTTCTTTCGCAAATTGAATGTCTTTGAATTTGAAATCAACATTGTGTTGGTTTCATATGGCAAATGCCATATATAACTGCTAAAAGGAACACTAGATCAACTGCATTTCGACTAAAGCAAGCGTGATTTACTGAAGCCTTCGATATTCACTTCATCAGGCCTTCAAATGACTACAGAAAGAGAAAACATCTAATTTTTAATTCCTCGAATTCATTCTGGTTGGAAGTCCATTCTTATCCCAAATTATGTCCCTCTATTCTCAAAACCACAGAATAACATTCTTGTGCACATCTGCATCGAATACAGCCTACCCTCTCTTTTCAGAATTATTTACCTCTTTTCAGAATTATTTTATATTACAGAATTATTTATTCAAACATCCCACCCCCAAACATATTGTTCACTTATCGCTTGTAACGCTTGTCAATTCAGTATACCATTGTTCCAATTGTTCCAAAGACTGGAAAAAAATCTCCGAATGAATGACTTCAAAAGTTTTGATGTTAGAAATGTTATTATAAAATGGTTCAGAATAGAAAAATTCTCTTGATGAAATAAGTGTGGTAAATAAAAATCGTGCTATTATGGAATACATTGCAAATAAATTTAGAAAGGACTGGAACTGTAGAAAATAAATATTGTTCTGGAAGATCATCAGTGGTAAACAAGAAAGGCGAACGATTCATTTTGAAGAAAATTAAATCTTTCCTTTTCTTCGACTGCATCTAGAAAATATTCAGGAACCTACCAGAAAAGAAATTCGTTCTAGAACAGTTAGATTATATAAGGCATTTCTCCCACTTTCCTAGCGTGCCTTTGGGGTGTAGTGGTTCTGCGCGCTGGGCCGATATTTCAGAGGCCCGTGGTTCAATTCCCGGCGAAGGCGTTTGCTAATTTTTCATATTTCCTGCTACCGGCTTTAACCTAATGTCTCTACAAGCTCACAGTGAAAGAGTAGTTGCTATACAAAACACCATATATTCTGAAAACTCCACTACGGACATTAATACATTCGAACATACTTGGGAAAAAAGGAAAATGAAATTTCAAAAATGCTCTGTATCAAATAAACATAATTTAAGCATCATTTGATATAAAGAGTGCGAAAAGTTAACAAAGTATGCTTGAGTTATAAAATTCAATGCTTAAACTTCTTCAGGCCTTTATTAATGCAAGAGGACATTTCACTAAGTATTATAATGTTTTCCGTCGTTTTAATAGTAATATTTATATGTTTTTATATGTGTAAATATTTTTTTCCATTTTTTTTACACTAAATGCAAAGTTATCTTTTATTTTATGACATGTTTATGTTTATTTTGTTAAATACACTCTGATATATTTTTCAATGAAGATTTCATCTAATTAAATTTGTAGAGACATTAGGTATTTTTTTAGAGAAAAAATGAGCAACGCCTTCGACGGGAATCAAACCACGGACCTCTGATATACGAGCTCAGCGTGCAGACCACCACACCACGAAGGCATGCCAAGAAGGCGCAGATATACCTTATAAATTAAAATAATCTTATTTAAATTAAAATTTGAAATTGTTTGCTAATCACGCAAATCTATGAATACATTTCTCTTCACTGTAAGCAATAACTAACTAAATATTTTTATTATTTAACTAGCTGAGTACTCGCCGTTGCTTGGGCTTAACGCAGAATGAAAAGGCTTCATTTGGGGGGGGATTCGTTTGTCCGAAATCCCAGGTAGACACTGATTTTCTGTTGTTTTGGTTCAAGGTGAATTGCGCAAAATTTTGAATGAATTTTTGACTTGAAATGAATCTGCATTCTGGAAAAAACTGGCATGTCATTTCAGAAAAAGTCCGATTTTGGTGTCAAAATATCTCTATTAGAACAATGCTATATATAAATCTAATACGTATCCTAAGTCGCGCTTTCGAGACATGAAAAACGCAAGTTGAATTTCGTCAATCGGCTAAGTAGAACGGAAGATATAGAACTGTCCCCCCCTTTCCTTTTTTTCCCCTCAGTGTACAGACATTACTCAAAGCAAATAGTCGAAATGGATTTGGGAACGGTCAAAATGGATATTTCCATTGAAATATGATATCCAAAAGTTTTCGCCATTGCAATACCTCCTTTACTTCGTACAAGGAAGTAAAAATAGTTGAAATTTGATGGATTTGTCAATGAAATGAGCATCTGTACCGTTTTCGTAAAACAAATCCTGCTTATTTTTTCTTTATCTGGTAAAACAATGAGAATTAAGAAATATCTTTTCTACCTTGCTATTTCCATAACAGAGAGCATCAGTTATTTATATTCTTTACAGTGCGGATGGTCATTTCGTTATCATTTCTTCAGAATTCTTTCTCTTTCATAATTTTACCAGAGGACTTTTTTTCTCAATTTTTCACCTCTTTAAACCGTTTCAGTCTCTTCACTTTTTAATTAAAACTTGTTCAATATCTTCTCATTCTTCTTTAATCTCTTGGCTTGTTTTTTTATACCATTTACAGTTTATTTATTTGTACTGCATTACTTATACCAAGTGAATTGGATATTCACTTGTATCTAATAAATCACAATTTTGAAACCAAATTTCCAGTTTTAATGTGAGGCGGACGACCCTTTCCTGATTGTTGGTGGGAGGTCGTGGCAAAGGCTTTTACTACTGTGGTGATGGATAGTGTCACATTACAAACACCTCTTTGTTGTTGACAACGAGAATTTGCAAAGAAAAGATCTGATCGTATGCCCTCTCGCACTTTCATATTTTTTGAGAAATTAAAAGCATATTTTGAATTCTGGAACTAATATGGTGATCTTTTTTTTTTTTTTTTTTTTTTTTTTTTGGCGAGGTTAGGCCGAACATCTGCGCATGTGTCTGAGCCTTCTACCGTCCGATTTTCAACAGCGGGGAACATAATGCTTAAACTGGGTGAATTCTTAAGCTTCGCTTACACCCCGATTTTAAAGTCATAACATGTTTAAGACGAGCTCCGTTGCTAAGAAACCAGATCCTGCTACGTCACAAGAACTGGTTTAAGGATTTTGCCTAAAAGTTCTAACTTTTCATATTGATGCCAAGTTGGTATAAGAACCACCAATCACAGCGAAGCAAATATTGGTCGATGGTTTCGTAGAGTCAGCTACACATTTACGCATGCGCAACTTTCTCTTCCATCACTGCATATAGCTTAAACCCTGAAGACAGATGTGAGTGAATTTAAATGACTTTTAAGCCTTAAACCACAAAGCTTTATGATTTTAAAACCACCGTGTAAACGAAGTTTTAATTATATTAGCAGTTAAATTTGCCATTCGAGAACTATTTGCATTTCTCTTGTCGTTTTGCAATAAGCGCTTAATTAGTGAAATATAGAAAAAGGATCATCTTACCCTTATGGTAGTTTCAAACAAAAAGAAAATCGCTAACATTCCGTTGCAAACTTCATATATTATTACTTCCGACCTGAAACTCTGCACAATGTGAGAATGTTCGTATTTCACGAAGATAAGCTCTGCTTGAGCGGCCATAGGTACAATATTCAATACCAGCATCCAGAAGACAATCGGTTCGAATGTTCTGCTTAAGTAGATGCTGAGACACCATTTTCGGAACCCTTTGCTTTTGTTCAGCTCATCCTTGAGTGTATGAGTGTGGACACTCAGCCTTTGGGAAAAACGCATCAGTGGAAGTTTCTGCAAAGATATAAAGATATCATGAATTTAATGTGAATTTTTTAAACACTAATGAGTCAAAATGGTAATTAAATATGAATGATTCAAGTGGAAAGGCTAATGAGATCCTACCTCCTCCAAAAATCACGAAAGAGAGAATATTTTAGTTACAAATTATATAAAAACGAAATACAGAGCCGTAAATTTTGCATTTCTGTGAAGTGTTTTTTCCTTATTGTTCACATAGATAAATATTTTATATATTTAGGTCGTGCAGAAATGAATGACACAAATGCTGCCACAGAGCGGAATACAATTTTAACAAAAAACCGATAGTACATCAGTTAAAATACTCCCCGCAAGTCTATCTTCTCGATTGGTGGGGGGTCCTGAAGGCCTTGTAACCACCTGTGAGTATTGTACACCACCTAATGGACAATTGCATCAATTCGGAGAAGATTCAACATGTTGGCTACTGCCTGCGTCCTTCTCTGTCAAGCAGGCTAATCCGAGGTCTGGTTCGAGGTCCGAGGTCCACACTGTGTCCACACATTGTCATCTTCAGATCACCAGCTCCTCGCCTGCAATGTTCCTTGTTCTTCCTACACCTTTCTGAACGTATGCCCATGATCAATCGACACGGCTGCCACATTTGCTGCTGTATGCGATTTGCTGTCGTCCGCGCTAACACTTTGGCTGCAGTCTCCACTCATGCTTAACTTGGTAACCACCGTACACAGTGCGCTTGAGTGTACTTTGTTCCGCACACTGACACCAGCGACGATGGTGCACTACCCGTATCCCTTCTTCCCTAGGATCACTCGTTCAACGCTGACCGTGATAATCACCTTCCATCATTGCTGTTAACGCTCTCAAAGACAACGGCGAAAGGGACAGGCGCTGAGTCAAAGAACGTCTAGAACAATACATATTCTTTGGCTGAGTTATACCGTTTCGCTTGGGCGCTCCGCTATGCCTTCGAGTAGCCTCACGCCCCCTTGTGTCTATTTCACTTGTTTTCCTTTCGCACAGTGTAATAGTTTCGTTGTGAGAGCCATTTTGTCAATCATTTCTGTATGACCCATATAACATCATTAAAGTGAGAAAAAAGTGGGATATATGCTACCAATGGAATGAAGATTTGTTTTTGCATTGAAAACTAACTCAACTAATTAAATAAAAATTTATTGCTATAATTATTTGAACACCCTAAAAATTTCCTGCGGATGTCAATTACAAAAGCCGGGACCTTTATATCAAATACATTTTTTCGAAAAATATTCACATTTTTAGAGATTTTATCTTCTTTTTAATTTACCAGTTGAAACGTACCGTACATTTTACAGCATCAACATTTTACCCAACTACTTGAGGGTAATCGGAAATTTACGTACCGTCTTATATGGGCAAGCATTAGTTGTTAAATGTTAACGGAAATTAATCACAGAAGAACAAACATAAAATTCAACTCCAGTTTTGATACAACTAATTCGTCACGAAACATATCCCTCTTCTAAGAAACAGTGTAATGAAATTCTAGTGGTGTATTCTTAATCATTAGTTAGGAATCTGCTGTACTGTCTAGAAGACGCATCTGATAACGATCGTATTATTGAGATCCTCATTTCATCTTCCGTTTTCTTTTGAATCTTTGAAGAAACTGAGGATTTCAATGAGGATCAAAGTTTCAAGAATACTACTCAGTTTTAGGAATTCTCCAGCACTTCACTGCATGTATTTTTGCTTTTCTATGATTCCCAGTCATTAAAAAGGCTGTAACAATCTCCGTTCAACACGATGACTGTTACAGCTAAATCTTCCACCTCGAGGCTCGATATGAAAATAAAGCAGTCGATATTACAATCTACTCTGATATACAAATGAAACTTAAAATTACCTTGTAATTTCTTTATGCAAAGCCAACCAGATGCTTTAATGCACCTAACTGTTCCTCCTACTTAATCCGGTTTGGTTCAATACCGAAGGTTTACTCATGTGCACAGTGAAAATTAAAATTTCAAAATAACGACGCTCGACGCCAGAATATAAAAAGAGTTTTAAAGAAACTCTTGGACGGCAGTTTAACATCAACTCAGCCAGACAGCTATAGTGCCACACTCGCTCTCGCTCGAAAACGGGCAACTAGAGCAAGACACGACGGTGACAAAGCAAGGCAACTCAAACCAAAGGGCTCGTCTCATGACCATGCTGTCTTACCGCATCGTTGCACCGGTGCTGTAATATTCTGTAGCTTGTGAGTAGGGTTTTTACGGATTTTGACTACATTTCTGAAGATAACATTATTATTTTTTAAAAGTTTTAAATTTTTCAATAAGTTTTCGTGTCCCACTGTTAAAAACTCCGCTGTGCCACACTGAGGCACGACGACAGGTATTTCGTCATTTGGGTAAGGAACGCATCAATTATTAATTGCATTACCTGGCAGATACAAATGATGCTTCTCTTTTCTTATTACCCTTATCTCCAACGTCTCCTGCTTCTTAATCTCCGACTATTGCAAGAATTTTTTTTTTTTTTTTTGTTTGTAACTCCAGACAGCAGATTGTAAATAGGAACCTTTTATTGAAATTTAAAATTCGTGAATCAGATAGCAAACGCACCTGCATTTTGAGTTTTTCTTCTGTCTTGCAGGTTTATTATCAGATAATCTATCCTATCATTTATATTAAAGCGTCTTTAGTGTTTCTCTTTTTTCACTCTGTCATTTTATAGCTTAAATTATAAATTTCTGTTCTCAAAGTCATCATAAACGAATTCATAACATATTTTATACATTATTTGAACATATTATTTAATTTGTTAGGACTTACAGTGTAAAGTAAAGTCCTGTTAAAAGTATTAAAACTCCTTTATTAAAGTTAATAATAAAATATTAAATGCTGATAGGAATCAAAATTTATATGAGTATAACAAAAATGCATTTCAAGAGAATGTCTTTACAAATAAAGTGTTTCAAAATCTAACAGCTTTTTAAGAAGTGTTTAAACCAGATACTTGAAACATAGGCATGTCAATTAATGAATGAATTAATTGATATAAATATCAATATATGAATTAAATAATATATTTCAATTAATAATATAAATAGGTAATAAAGGTTTTGCTTATACGATAATAAAGTCTCAGACAAATTAATTAATATAAATATACTTACTAAATATTTTGCTATAGCATTAACGCGCAAATATCTTCTTTTAATTTCTTTTGCAAACAGATACCTGCAAAGAATAGAAGCGAAATTTAAACAACAAACTTATAGAAAACTGTCATCAAAAATCGAAATAAAAATTTCAGCTAAAAATTAAAGTACTTTGCAATTTAATTGGTAAGAAATGGGTTTATCTGCAGGCAGATTATTCCTGCATCTAATTTTGCGTATTTCCTAACATGAAGTAAAAAAAAAAAAAAAAAAAAAAAAATCAGAAATAGTATCCAAGATACTCCCGTCGTTCAGAAGTTAGAAAAATTAGAATCATGTTAAAATAATATCTGGTAAAAACATATCGCAGAAGTCAACAGAAGAGGATATATAACCAGGCAAAAGAATGAACATTTTGCCCAGTTAATGTTTGACTTTTCCAACAGTGAAACATTCGCATTGATATATGTGACAATATGCCTTACAACCACTTTAACGTATTGCTATAAACATGTACCAAATGTTGCATTATTAAAAAGCTCAGAATTAAGAGCAATAAAAAAGTAGCAAAACCCTATCTTGACATTATAAATGGCCAATTACTTGATCAAGTTTTAATCGGATTATTAACTTGGTATAATGGAAGCGTTAAGTGGTTAAAATATTGATTGCTATTTAAACTTATACTGAAGAAGAAAGTTTAAGCATGTGTTAACGCATAACTATGACTAAGTTGCTAAAACTTATAATTCTTTTTTAGTTTAAAATGAGTTTACTTACTTCTGAGGGACATCTAGAGTTTCTTCAATAATCGTGCTTAAATGGCTAAGAGTTCGCCTTAATATGCTATAGCGAATATGTTGATTATAGAGGGAAACCTGTAACAACATATTTATCATGAATGAAGAATTATATCATTACTATATTAACAAATCATCTCTACATATATTTAATCATTAAAGCACTAAATTTTCTTTTTTTTTTAAACCGCAGCAAGTCAAATAATGATACATTAACAAAATTTGGCTCTGTTCTTAATCTGCTCTTAGTCTGCTCTTAATCGGTATGATTTAGATTACTTATGGACAGCATATTCTAAAATGCAGATATACACATTATCATAAGAAATATAACACAACGCTGGAATTATTCTCAGAAATATTTGTACAGGTGTTCACAATATCACGCAGTTATAATCAGTATTTATACTTTAAACTACTAAAAACGTTAAATAGAACGCAAAGCACAGCACAGAGAAAGCTAATTCGATCAACAATAAGAATAGAAGCTAACTAAACAACTAAACTGAGATACCTCTCTCCAGATTTTTAAAGCTTTCAAACGGTCGGCTTCACTGGAGAGTGGTGTACAAACCCGCGTACTTGGGCCGCAGGCCCTACCCCTGTCGAATAAGAATTGGGTATTTCCTAATTATGGGTGCATTAACAAGTTTAACAATTTTTAACCATAGTTTTAAAGAGTTGCTTATAAGCATAATTAATATAGAATTGATAGCTAAAAGAAGTAAGTGTAGTGAAATCGTGCGGAGAGAACTCTGAAAATGCACATTTGGCCGAGAGCAGAACGAGCTGATGACTGACATCCTGAAAGATAAACACAGCAAGAAAAAGAGCAAGTGTGAATCCGTCGGTGATAGGTTATCAAAAAGTAAAAGGCATACAAAATCTAACGTGAGATGGTAAACATATAATAATAATAATAATGCAGTTAGGATACAATAACACTGGTGTTGAGGACAAATAGTCCATCGGGATGCATTCGTAGGAACAATTTGAGGGACAGCATTACTGAACAGAGAAGGTAACCATACCAATATTACTATGTAAGTGAGGTAAACAAAATCAAAATATAAGCAATAACAGTTAGATAATATTGTCACTCAGAAGTCCCATAGAGCATTTTACACTTGCTGTGTCGTTAACATTGTAATTACAGATTTTTATCACAAGGTTTTGAATATTTCTTTGACTTACGAATAAGCTACTTGCAGGTTTACAGTAGACAGTCCTAACTCGATGAATTCTAAGTTCAGTGTGAATAAATACAACTGTTGCGAATGTACCAGGGTGAATTGGTAATTTGTCTTAAAATACAGTTTTGTGCAGTTTAAAGTTTTTTGCGAACAATTTTACAGGAGTATGCTCAAACCGGGCAGGCATAACAAAGCATGAGATGCAATACGCATTTGTAAATGAGTAGCTTGTTGTCAATAGATAAAACGCTGTTTCGAGAAATTAAAATTTGCTTTACAAACTCCTAACTTCTGTAAGATAGATGTTACGTGTGGGGTCCATGTGAGAGAATTACTGAGGATCACCCGAGATAGGGGACTTTCTTAGCCCAGGCGATTGAAGCTCCATAAAAATGCAGATTTTTCTTAATTTTCTTGTTCGTAAACATGATGGCCTGAGTCTTGTCAACACTGACGAGAATTTTCACTTGTTTAGCCAAATCTCATATATGTTTATACATTCTCGTAATCGTTGGATGACTGATCCAACAAATGCATATTGCGTCAAGATCGCAGCTTCATCTGCGTACATTGCGAGTGTCGTGTTGGGTGGAGTGGGAATGTCGTTCATATATGCATATATTAAAAAGTGTGGGAGTTAAGAGGGCCCCCTGGTGAAACCCCTGTTAAGATAGCACAGCGAGTAGAATGTGAGCCTGTGATATTAACGACAAAGTGTCTACGAGTCAGGTAGGATTTAATTATGTTTGTGATGTAATCAGGGAAACCTAGATTGTGTATTTTGCATAAGAGTCTTTCCAGCCATACAAGATCGAAAGCCTTGGAGCCTTGGAGATATCCAGAAGGATGCCTTCTGGAATCCTTTTGTTTTGAATCCCTTCCGTAATTGTCTCAACTACTCTATCTAACTGATTTGTAGTGCCGAAACTTTCCGTAACTCAAACTGGAACGGGAATAAGACATTTTATCTTCCAGGAATTTGTTCAGTCTATTGAGGATAACTGCTGCTGTAACCTTGCTAAGGCACGACAGGAGGCTGATAGGTCTATAAAATCCGGCTTGTTGGGTGGATTGCCTGGCTTTAGAACAGGAGTAATGATCGCTAACTTCCAGTCCTGTGGGAAGTATAGCCATTTTAAAAGTAGGTTAATTATCTTAACAAGCATGAAAATAGACTTTTCGGGAACTCCTGAATCATTTGATTTGTAATCCTGTCGTGCCCTGGGGTTTTCTTCTTGAGTCTTTTAATATACTCAAGAACTTCCGATAACATGACTGAGATAATTCTGTCAGTGTGTGGAATGGGAGAGTAATTGTTCTGAAAACTAGTGACTAGATTTTCTGTTGTGTCATGTATGTTGTGTTGACGAAACTGAGATTCCAGATGCTCTGCTAACAGTTCTGCTTTCTCAGCATTAGTGTAATAGATCCTTTGTGGGCCTTTAAGGGGCGGAATGTTATTGTAGCATTTTTTGTGCATTTTAAGAGCTTTCCACAGTGAGTTGTCATCCGTGGAGAACGAATTAAGGTAGTTAGACCATTCTAGTTGTGCTTGTAAGTTACGCTTAGATGTGACTGGTATTGCATAACTGTTGAACCTTGTTTTATCAGCAGGATTTCTTGTTCTCTGGAACTTTCTGCGGGCTGCATTTCTTTGTTTAATCAGTTCAGAATTTTTTTTAGAAGGACGTTTTTACGAGGAATTAATTTCTGTTTTTGCACCATCATAAGCAAACTGAATTTGTTCGGTGAAACTCTTTATTAAACTGTCAATCTCACTCCCCGCTTGTATCGTGGGTAGCGTGTATAGAATGTTGTTTAGAGCTTTGACGTATTTATTTCAGCGAGTAGTGAAGGCTTTTTTGTCTGTTGTGGTGTAACTGCTGATGTTCAGGAGGATCCGAAGTGGATTATGATCGGATGAGAGTTCATCCAGGGCAGAAACATCCAGCGGAACGCTGGTGTTTCTAAGCAGGAAGAAATTTATAATACCGGTGGAACTGGCAGTACACCGTATTGGGATTTTAGGAGCTGCTATTTGTACTCCTGCATGGAAGTGGCCAAACTGTAGATTACTGTGCCTGTGGTGTTTGAATTGTAGCAGTTACTTTCAATCGGTCGCGAGAGAGTTCTAATAATTTCTTTGCTTCTCGAGATTTCTGGAAACCAACAAGAAGATGGAATTACGGTTACAGCTAACACATAAATACATAATGTAAAAATAATTACATAATCATAATTACACATCTTTATATATATATAAGCGCCTAAGTATGTGTCGCCGATAGTTTATTGTTGCCACTCGGAAAAATAAGCGTTGAAATTAACGTTTCCGCAGTTTTTAATTAATATCTCAGCCGATTAAAATCGCACGAAGATGAGAACGGTATCGATGGATTCGGAGAATTTTTTGGAATCCGAGGATACGCGTCTCGAATTTCGACTCGGCCTCGTTCCGTAGATGTTCGAGAAAAAAGAGGCACGTAGCGAAATCCTTCTAATAGGAAAACCCAAGAAAGAAAGTGGAAAATGTAGGGAAAACGTAAGGGAAAATTAGTTTTTAATTAATATCTTGGCTAATTAAAGTCCCAAGAAGACGCGAATGGTCAAAATGGCGTGCCACGGACCTGCGGAATCCAACGGTGTGCTTCGCTAAGCCCGGGTGCCAGCCGTGTCTGAGGAGATGATATTACTTCACCCCATATATATATGCGGCTTAAGTGTCTGTTTGTCGTCGATAGTTTATTCGTTGCCTGCGTAACTGTACTAGCCAATGGTGTGAAGTTGCCACGGTACAGGGTTGCCGTTTGAATTGAGACGTAGACAATTTCCTGTAAAACTTGCTTTTGGTATGACCATCAATACGTCTCAGGGTCAAACGCATAAGCGTGTTGGCATTTTTTTACCCTGAGCCTGCATTTGGACACTATGAACTTTATGTTGTCTGTTCAAGAGTTCGTGAAAGAACGGACGTAAAATTAAAAATAATGGATGGTCTTTGAAGGCGAACTTAAAATGATGGAAAGATCTACACAAGAAATGTTGTGTACAAAGAGACCTTTGACATGTGAATTAACATTTTATTATTTAAATCACCTTTATTTATTGAGCTAGCAGTGGCTCTTAAGAAATGTACCACCAGTAGTTTCCTTCAAGGCACTCTAAGCAATTAAGCAAGCAGAAGGGGGAAACCCGTGGGGCAATAAGCAAAGGGGCGTCCTCGCCGCCTTCCCTGGGTAATTCAGTTTGAATTAGCAGACACCTTTGCACAAATCATTTTAATTACAATTTATAATATGTAGAACAGCGGTCATTTCGCATGACCGTCGGGCTTTCTAGTAATTACATAATGTAAAAATGTTATAGCTCACTCTGCAACAAAATAAACGAAAGAAATTAAGTAAACAAAATGCATTTAACAGGGGTCTGTTAAAAGCATTTTATGGTATTAGATGCATTAAAACTTATAAAAAATGCAATAATTTATTGTACACATTCAAGAAGGTGAGTTCAAAAATGTTAGGTTTGTTTTTTACTTCAAGACCATAAGGATACAACAATTTTAGCTGTTTCATTTTATGCTGCTGTTGTCTTTATCTAGTCTTTTGCGTCTGTAATAGAAGTAGGGAGGAAAATTCCTTTTGCTGGCTTAAAAAGGTTAAGTTAAATTAGTTTAAGCCACTTTAAGTTTGACTTTATGAAAAATACATTACCTTTTGTCCTAAATCTGATTAAATATCTAGTTTATTCTCATACCTGCTTTTAAATGAAACCCAACTATTTAGAAAGCCGGCCTTCTTTCAACACCACTGATATGTAACTAAAGCTGACATTATGTTATCCTCATTTATAAAACGAAAATTTATGTAATTTACCATTTTTGACTCTTTTGATAACATATCAGTTGACTATTCATCTGAATTCTGATGACCCTTAATCTTAACTTTTATTGCTTTAACTTATTTATTTTTGCTTCTAGTTTTATTTTTGACAACGTGCATAGTACGTTCCGTGGTTTCGAAAAATCTAAATAATTTCATTGGTGATTATTTAGACTTTTCGGCTGTCTTTAAATAGCGGAGCATAGTAAATAAATATTGTATTTCCTAATGCATGCTGTCACGGTGTGAGTGGAAGGACGTTTATATAGCTATTGGAAGATGAGTTTTAATCCCGGCGAAAGCATAGTTGAATTTTCTGCTTTAAAAAAAAAAAAAAAAAAAAAAACTTATGTCTCAACAGTCATAATAAAAAATATCTTATATTATACTATAATCAAGCTTGAAACTGAAATAAGAAAATTTTTAATAATACTGTTGCTTTAAAGAATAAAAAGTTGTGTGGAATTGCTTAAGGATTTCTTACTTCCATGGATCTCAACACCCATTGTCGAGATTCTTCTTGTATAACTTTTATTTCATCTGTAAGCGCTTCGTCCTTCGTGGAGGATAAGAGAGCTTTGTCTGTATCAGAAGGCAGTATTTTATGCGTGTACTAGAGTAATAATAAATAAAATAAATGAAAAAAACCTAAAAATTAAAAAAACTTTTTTTTTACTATTCTTTAAATTCTATTAAATCTTTTAGATTATGTAATAAATTTAATTATGTTAAATCTTTTAAATTATATAAGACAAACAACTATATTACTTTATTTTTTTAAAGAACTTCATTATAGGATATGCTCAAATTGATGCTAAATGAAAAAAGATTTCTGAGGGAAAGTCAGCAAAAAACCTCGTTCCAAATAATTCAGTACAAGGAGATAAAATTTTCATCCGAATCATATACTGTTCAGTTTCATAGTACTCTGTTTGGTCAAATGAAAAGGTAAACACGACGTTAGGATGCGGAATAAGCAATCATTTTCAAATTTTGCTTTACTTCGCAGATAGCCTTAACACCTTTATTCGTGTGTTTTTCAAGGAGAAAGAAACAATCAGGAGACTATACAATCTGCTGCAACTGTAGTTCGAACGCTTTAGCTGCGACCATGAGCGCGAACACGCACGCATCATTTCGACCGATTTATTTTCAAAATAGGGTGGATGGAATAAGGGGGTGGAATCACGTCGTAAGGATTTTTTCCGTTCTTTTTGCCCCCTGTTAATTTTCATGACGTTCAGGGGGCTAACAGTCATAAGAGGACAAAATTACTTTTAAGTAATCTATACTGATATGCTGGAAACCTATTCACTGGTTTCTTTTTTTACTACAAAAAGAATACTTCTGCTAAAGAATATAGTTTTTAGTGACCTTATCTTTGAAAACAAGAGATGAAATACGGATTGTTTATATAAAATTCATAAATTATAAAAAAAAATCAACATCGTTTGCGGGCTGGAGACTAACGCAAATCTTAGTATTTATTTCTGTAAATATTAAAAAAAAAAAAAAAAAAATCAAAGGCGCGCGAAAGACCACTGACGACAGCATCATCCGATGACATAGGGACTTTCCCAACCTCGGTCATATAAATTCCCTCTTTCCGCTGAGGAGAAAACTGTCATGTGACCTCTTACCTCACGGCACATAATAAAGCCCCTTTTGAACGATTCTATGTGTTTTGGCAGAATGCCAGCCAAGGTTGCTTTTAAGACGGTCGAACTATAGAAAAATAACTCTAAAGTGTTTATTTTAAAGTACTACCAGAGGAAAAGGGGAAACAATGCCGCTACCATCGAGAAACAACCACTGCTCAACCGCTACTCTAGCGACGTCATCAAAAAGAGTGCGAACAATGGTAACGATGATACTGCCAGGCAGAGTGTCCTTAAAAACTTTCAATTTGAAGGCTCAGGTGCTGGGCACTTCAGCAGGCTCCTAGGCCGGGACAGCCATATCCTGTGCAGAATTCATTGTAGATAGGCATATCTTTCCTGGCATAACATATTGGAGAGTATAATAGAGGAAGAATATTTTTCCTCAAGAGAGTTCAGTGATTGTTGTATCATGGCATATGTTCGTACGATAGTCAATTCATGAGCCTTGCGTATATACAAATCGTAAAGTCAGAACGTCCGTCAGGAGAGATAAGCGTAACAGTTACTGCTTCGACGTCCGGCCCTCAAATGAATTTTGAAATGACATCGTGGACTGATGCAGAGCGTGCTATCACTGTAAAAGTATTTTATAACAACGAAAACTACTTTTCTTCCCAATATGAATTTCGGAAGAAATCCGGGATTCAACGAAGCAATATCGCATGCTAAAACAAGTGGGGAACAATTTTGGAGAGATCTGATGTTCTCACCCCACAGAACTATGATAAGAGCATCATTCGAACAAAGTACTCGAAGGTCATCATATGAGATTAAAAATAACTAGGTCTGTCCGAAACTGGTATGAAGCGTTATTTTACATTTGAATTTACACTTCCATCCTTGTAACATTCAAGCCGTTCAGAAACTGTAAAAAAGTTATACAGCTAAGAGATAATTTTTCAATTAACAAATGTTGGACTTGATAAACAGGAACAAGGAGATTCTCAGTTATCTAATTATGAGTGACGCGACATATTTATTTGATCTGCCTAGTTAAAAAATAAAACTGCCGGTACTAGTATGATTAACAGCCACGAGAATTCATCTAAAAACCGTTGTACTGTATTAACAGTGTTATATGTGGCGAGAGCCTTCACCTTTATCAGTCCGTATTTCTTTGAGAATGAAAATGAAAATGCTTGCACTGTGAACGGTACACAAAATGCTGAAAATCTTTTCCCTTTCACGTTGTCAAAATTTCCAAATAAATAAAGCACTTGCTTTCAACAAAACAGGACTTGGGTAAACTGCGAAACTGACAATTCAAGTTTTGTGCTCACTTTTCTCAGACATTTAATTTACAGGTATGGCCACATAGAATGGCCAGCAAGATCACCTCAGGTATCAGTAGCTGCTTTTGCGGACGGCACGGATTATCCTTCACCATCGAAAGACAGACTTGTAGTACCGATAAGCAAGTGGCCGTTGTTTGTCGATTACGAAGTTTTCAAATAAATAAAATTCAATGATTCTTTCCCTCGTGTACTTTACCATACGTAATTATTATTTTAAATCGTATATATCGTTGTACTAGTTTATTATGCATGTAATGAGTTAGTTTTTACACTCATTACATGCATAATTTCACTGGATTCTAATATATTATAAACATGCTATCTTTCTTCTTAGACGACAACACATAGATATATAAATTTTCATTAGTTTCTTACATTCATTACATGCATAGTTGCTGTTTCTTTATTAACAAGAGACCTGAACTAAAAATTTCAATACTTTTAATATCAGCAATTTGAGCCAGTTATGATCTTACGATATATATATAAATCTTATAAAGATCTTAGGATAATTAATTCGAATAATGGGAACGATTGACCGTATCACAGAGATTTATTCGCATTGCTTCCAGTCTCGTATATGACAAGAAAAAAATTAAATACGAAGGTACTCCCTTTGCCTTTCTGCAAGATTTTCTATATACCACAATTCCGTATAAAACGTAAACGAAGTATCGAGACTTCGTAATTGATTACAAAGTGCAAAGTATATCAGTTATTTGTCATCGATGGAGAAAAGACAGTCTGTGCCATCCGAAAAAGCGGCAACCTAAGTTAATCGTTGGCGGATTTTGACTTGTGGTTATTGATAAAATGAGCAAAATTGATTAGCTGGATCACGCAGTAATCCTTCCTCCGTGGGCTGGATGCAAGTTCAGAGGAGAGGACTTACAGTTTGTGAAAGACCGCATATTTGAGAAACACAGCAAAGCGAGAATATATCGTATTGAAAGGTACTGTTACACTCTTTCATTTTCAAAAACAGATAAAATGAAAATCAGAACTGAAAACCACTTCATCTAAAACTAATCCCCGAGCACACAAGATGAGAAAATCAAATTTTCTTTACCTCAAGATTTTCGTAAGGATTTTTTATGTAGGTCACCTTGCGTACCCATGGCCAATCTGCACCGGCCAGATACTTATCCATTCTTGCAACGCTCTCTGTCGCGTTAACTGCATCTCTGAGTAACGCAAGAGCATGGGACATTGACTTAATGTTTTTTGCTGTCACCTGTCCTATTCCTAAAATGAAAGTTAAGCCACAAAAGCATTTTAAATGTTAGGTAGTATACAGTTAAAAAAAACAATAGTATGTGTTTTTGAGAGTTATAATTACAATCATTAGAAGATGAAGTTACGTTCTGTTTTAATAATTATTGGTTTATTCGATTCCAACAACAAAGGGAATTAAAATACATTAATTCCTGAATGCCCTTAGTAACTATATAGACCTACAAAGAAAAGCCCTCTCCCACAAAAAACAAGATAGTCAAAAAACTATTTCGTAACATTGTAGGGGTTTATTTTAATATCCTAATAGTTACTTTTGAAACGCTTTCCTTTATTCTCTTGTTTACCACCAACAATTCCCTGCCAGAATGAATTTTCTTCATTCTGGCAGTTGCGTTTTATGTAAATGGTGTAGAACCAGTACTTGATGGGAAGTTTCAGTCACTTCCGTTGACGAGCTCAGAAGTTCTCAGTAAAGCGTATTCTGCCTTCTACGTCGTTGCTTTAAGCCAAGCTTACTATGTTCGGCCGTATTATTACGTGCCCGTTAGCTTTCGCCGGTGAAGTTTAAATATGGGCCAATTCGGTTAGTTATCTTTGTACAGCTCTGGTTTAAATTTAACTAGTTAGAATTAATTTAGTTTCTTATTTTCTATCTTAAGTTAAAGCTCAAGTGGAATCTTTCCTATAAGCCGGAGAAGGGGCCATCTGCGAGTGTTTCTTTGAGTGAATAAAAGGGTATTTTAACCCTTCTTTGGATTAAACCAGATAATAGTCGCTCGACACTTTTTTAAGGTTCTAGTAGTCAAAGACGCGTAAATTAACTAGAACTTTATAGTTTAAGTAAAACTGACTGTAACTTATACTTAAATTTAGACAACTTTATTTAAGTTGCAATTTAAAATTGCATTATTTTAATAAACAATTCTAAAAAAAATAGAAAAAAAATCGCCAAATTAATTAATTAATGTTAAACAAGCATTTATATTCAAGTGATTGCAAACGCAGGAATATAAGAGAAAATTTGGAAGAAGACGCACCAATTGACAGGCCTTGCATGAATCCACAAAGCAGAATGATTTCACTATTGGTTTTAATTCTTTGGCTAAAGATTTTCTTTGCATAGTGTATTTTGCATTAATCATCAACTGCTGAATTATAATCAACACTTATGAAGCAGTTTTCAAGATATAGCAAGATTATTATCCAAGTAGTCATTAATAAATCAAATTCTAAAAAAAGTACAAAAATCAAAATAAATCCAATAAAAAATAAAAGAATAATATAAGATTGATTCAGCCAAGCATTTCCTGAAGGAGTAAACTAATGAAACTTGAAGCCATTTTTCTTAATTTAGGAGTCAAGCAACAAAAATCAGAGTTATATTTTCAAATTTTCACTGGACTTGTTTCGACGGTTTCACCGAACATTCATCTTCAGCTGCCAAAGCGCAATTAATGAGATAAACTATAGTAATTAGATAAGATAAAATAAGAATGGCTGAACAGGAGTTAAGTATATGGTGTAGTAGCTTAACTCCTGTTCAGCCATTCTTATCTTATCTAAGCACTATAGCTTATCTCTTTCTTTAACTTTTACTTTTTAAATAATTTCTTTAACTTTTTAAATAATAATTTTACAATTACCATTACATTACCATAATTATATTTTTACGCAATGTATCTGAAAATAGATAAAGATAAGACAACACAGACAAAGAAAAAAAAAAAAAAGGAAACGTTTCGGCACATTCTTTTTACAATAGAAACGTTCATTTTACTCGCTTTGCACATGACGATATCATCTCGTCTGTCACTTATTTAAAATTTTCACATTGATCTATGTCTTAACCTTAGAAATTAAAGTTAATGACCTAAAACTGCAATACTATAATACAGTACAAGTGAAAAAATTGACAGTTTCACACGCGCGTGTGTCGGATTTGCGCAATGCTTCTGGGGGGTCCCACAAAATTTTGGTAAATATTAAAGGGTCCTGGGGGTCGAAAAAAATTCTCAGTGATAAAAGGGGGCACGGGTTGAAAAACGTTTAAGAAACCCTGTTGTATAATAAAGGAATATACTAACAGCTTTCTTCTTGTTAATGTACTCACCTAAAACTTTGAAGAGTAAATTCATCGTTGTGGCATTCACGGCAAGCGTCAAAACAATGACTCCTGACACCTGGATCAGGAACTGTAAAATGGAAAAAAAAAAAGAGTTCTTATATTTTAGAAGATTATATGAGAAAATCGTATTTAGGGGTAAAAGTAGATCCATACAATTAACTCTTAAAATCAGAGGATTTTGAAGTATATGAGGTGGCAAAAAAATATAGTAAGCAGATTTAAATGTAACTTTTACAAAATATATACCTCGTACAGAAAAAAAAGGGGGGGAACAGTTCTATATCTTCCGTTTGACTTGAAAAATATTGTTACTTTTTTCTTTTCTGACACCAGTTGTTGCGTTATGTTCTTCCTTCACGTTCGTACGGGGTTTGTAGATTTGGAGTGAATAAAAGCGACACTTCATGAAGTATCGAAACACACTTTATTCAGCCAATATTAATCAGGACAGCTCCAGTAACACTTTTTACAGTCGTCGAAGATCTATTGTAAACACCCTGACACGATCAGCGACACAGCCTCCAGGTTATCAGGCTATCACGGTGGAGACAGCTTCACGGCAAAGCACTAAAGTACAGCTCCCAACTCTGCTTGGTCGTTCTCGGAACTCCACGTACTCTCGAGACTCTCCACGCGATGCACTCGACGATACACAAAAGTATAGCTCTCGACTCAGCACCGTCTAAGACAAAACTCGACGATGCACTAAAAGACTCTCTCGATGCACTTGACGACCAACTCGGCACTCGCTGCCCGGCTGTCAACTCGATTGACTCGCTAGACGAGACACCAACTCGATACTAACTCTCTCGCACTCCAGATGAGGGACTCTGACTCGGCCACTCGATGAAGCACACACTGAGAAACTAACTGACTGCGGACCAGCAGGGTTTATATAGCTTTCGGCTTGTGTTCGAGAACATTCTGGGCTGAACCGGTAAGAATTCTTTCGAGAAGATTCTGCATCCGTCCATGGCATATCGCAAATTTTGTCGCCAAATGCGGCAACCCTGCCTTCCTTTTCCATTTTATGGCAACCCTAAAACTGCTTTGCGGGGAAGCCATCTTATCGCGCCTGTACATTTCGTAACAATATATTAGATTTAAATATAGAACTGTTCTAACTTAGGTATTTTGACACAAAATCGGACTTTTTCTGAAATGACATACCGACTTTTTTCGAATATTTAGATTCTACCATTCAAATAATGCCAAAATGCCAAGTTTTGTAAGAACCGCACGAGTAATTTTTAAAAAATTAACTTTCAAAATTTTAGCTCCTCAATATTAATTAAATTTGGTATATATTTATTAAGATTTCCTTTTGTTATTTAGACACATGGCAGTGTGTCAGCCAAGTTCGGAACAGACAGAAAGAAAATAGCTAGACCATGCGTGTGAAACAGCCATGTGTATCTTACACGAACCATTTCGAGCTACTTTCGACCTCCAGAATGTGAAGAATCACCAGTGGAGAATAAAAACCTTGTTTATAATAGATGAAATTGTAGCGCAGAGGTAGGGTGCAGGTTCAGCTTTTTTTTTAATTTTTTTTTTTATTTTGGTGTTGGGTTCGGGACCTAACCACAGCGATATCGCGAAAAGTAAACAGCTTTCAAGCTATAAAAACCATTCAGTAACTTAAATTCAAGTAACGAAACGAATGGCAGATGCAAATAAAACAATAAAAATTTAAAAAGGAACCTTGAATCTCTATTTTAAAATTAGATTTTAAGCACTTATATCTTACATATATGCGGCTTAAGTGTTCGTCGCCGATAGTTTATTGGTTGCTTGCGTATCTGTAAATTGTTTTATTCCCGTGCAGTGCAGCGCGTGACGAATATTATGAAAAAGCTAAGCCGAAAAAAATTAAAAATACAAGAGCACGTGCATTTAACATTTAATAAATAAATTTAACATCTATATATACTACTACAAAGCCCGGCGGTCATGCGAAATGACCACTGTTCTAGATATTATAAATTGTAATTAAAATGATTTGTGCAAAGGTGTCTGCTAATTCAAACTGAATTACCCAGGGCAGGCGGCGAGGACGCCTCTTTGCTTACTGCCCCACGGGTTTCCCCCATCTTCTTGCTTAATTGCTTAGAGTGCCTTGAAGGAAACCACTGGCGGTACATTTCTTAAGAGCTACCGCTAGTTCAATAAATAAAAGTGGTTTAAATAATAAAATGTTAATTCACATGTCAAAGGTCTCTTTGTACACAACATTTCTTGTGTAGATCTTTCCATCAAGTTCGCCTTGCAGAGGATTATCCATTATTTTTAATTTTACGTCCGTTCTTTCACGAACTCCTGAACAGGCAACATAAAGTTGACCGTGTCTAAATGCAGGCTCAGTTAGGTAAAAAAATGCCAACACGCTTAAGCGTTTGGCCCTGAGACGTATTGATGGTTATAGCAAAGGGAAGTTTTACAGGAAATTGTCTAAGTCTCAATTGAAACGGCAAGCTGTGCCGTGGCAACTTCACCCCATTGGCTAGTACAGTTACGCAGGCAACCAATAAACTGTCGGCGACAAACAGACACTTAAGCCACACATAATAAAGATAATTATTTATTTTATTTTCTTTGTAGTTTCATCGTTGCCAGTTTCTGCCGGTTGCATATTTCCGAATTCTATTATATATAGATGCTAAATTTATTTATTTAATGTTAAATGCACGTGCTCTTGCATTTTTAATTTTTCCGGCTTAAATTTCTCGTAATATTCGTCACGCACTGCACTGCACGGGGAATAAAACAATTTACAGTTACGCAAGCAACCAAGAAACTATCGGCGACAAACACAAGCCGCATATATATATATATAAGATAATTCGGAAATATGCAAGCAGCAAAAACCGGCAACAATGAAAAAACAAATAAAATGAAATAATAGCTTTATTATATGCTGCGGCTTAAGTGTCTGTTTGTCGCCGATAGTTTATTGTTTGCTAGCGCGTAACTGTACTAGCCAATCGGGTGAAGTTGCCACGGTACAGAGTTGCCGTTTCAATTGAGACGTAGACAATTTCCTGTAAAACTTGCCTTTGCTATGATCATCCATAAGTCTCAGGGCCAAACGCTTAAGCGCGTTGGTATTTTTTTACCTGAGCCTGCATTTGAACACGGTCAACTTTATGTTGCCTGTTCAAGAGTTCGTGAAAAAAAGGACGTAAAATTAAAAATAATGGATGGTCCTCTGCAAGGCGAGCTTAAAAATGATGGAAAGATCTACACAAGAAATGTTGTGTACAAAGAGGTCTTTGGCATGTGAATTAACATTTCATTTTTCAAATCACCTTAATTAATTGAGCTAGCGGTGGCTCTTAAGAAATGTACCGTCAGTGGTTTCCTTCATCGCACTCTACTTAAAGCAATTAAGCAAGTAGAATGGGGAAACCCCGTGGGGCAATAAGCAAAGGGCCGTCTTCTTCGCCTGCCCTGGGTAATTCAGTTTGAATTAGCAGACGCCTTTGCACAAATCCTTTTAATTACAATTTATAATATCTAGAACAGCGGTCTTTTCGTATGACCGCAAGGCTTTCTAGTTGTTTAATAATTAAAACAGCTGTTTAAACTTATTTTTAACATTTTTACTTCCCTTTAGAAACCTGAAACTTCAAAAAAGTACATTATTATCGGGGTTAAACCAAATAATACTTATAAGGAATGTCGTCGATTTTATAATTAAGAAACTGCTAATAAAAAGAAACCAATGCAGCGTAAACGGCAAGGAAAAAAATTGAACGTCGCGTATTTATGCAGACATTTCTTAAGTGTTTACATAAAAACATAACCTTTAACTTAGGCCCCTTTTTCACATTTATGTTATTATTATCATTAAACTTACTTGATTCCCTCTTTCACAGTTTTTTAGTTCCTTGTTAAACTTTTTACCAGATTTTTCAAAATTCAATATTTAGGTATAATTTGAGGCATAGAAACGAAATACGAAAAAAAAAAAAAAAAAAAAATCGTAATGTCATTTCAGAAAAACTCAGATTTTGTGTCAAAATACCTATGTTAGAACAATCCTATATGTAAATCTAATACAGCCGCGCGTTTGAGACACGAAAAACGCAAGTTAAATTTCGTCAAACGGCCCAGTAGAACGGAACTGTCGTTCCACCCCCAACTTTTTTTTTTTTTTTTTTTGCAGAATGTACCTCTAAATGAAACTGATACGAAAAATTACCTTTATATAAATTTTAATGATCAATTTGATATCCACACTTTATTTATTTTTCTTTTCTCATAATAGCCAAAATCTTAGTCATGTCAGCTCGTATTTCCAAGGATGGGTGAAAGTGACATTAGAGCTGTGATGACATATTTATGGCCGCTAAACACTTTATGAGACACTAAGAGACAATGGACAAGCTTATTCCATAATTGCCAAATGGACAGCAGAGTTTCATCCTGTTAGAATTTCCCATGAAGATGATCCATGTCAGTTACAGAGACGAAGACTGAAAGCGGAAAGAATTGAAAAGCCAGACGAATAATTGTTAGGTAGGTAGTAGACCTTATGGGTATTTTATTCGGTAAATTTCAGCGTAGTCATATCCTAATAAGATAATATCCTGATAATCCATGTTCAGTTTTACCTGATAAGAAAAATTTCAGCATGACCAATATCCAATTTAGGCATGACTATGTAAGAAATATGAGCATCTTTCTTCGATACTGAGAATAAGCAAGAGAAATATTTTATCGCCAATTTTTCTGAATGAAATACCATCGCTTTACCCACAGTGTCATCCATCTGTGAGACTCCATCAGGACAAAGCTAAGTCACGCATCAAAATCCACTGTAAATTTCCTAAAAGAAATGGAACAAAAAAACTGGTATCAAGGCCATAACCCTTCACTGATATCCCTACTAAATCTCCCGATGTGTCACCTATGGATTTTTGCGCTTTCGGACTTTTAAAAACTGGATTATCCAAACGTTGACCCCAAACCCTAACAGGACTCTGGAAAGCTGTTCGGGAGGAATGGGATAGAATACCTCTTCTGCCACTTCAAAAGGCATTATTATCCTGGAAATTGAGGTGTCGAAAGATAGTTCAGAATAAGGGATGTCAAATAGAACATTTAAAACACAAGAATTTTATGTAATTTAGTTTTGTGAATACAATATACATCGTCTAAAAAATGTGTGAACAGCCTCTGTATTTGAAATATAACTAACTTGTCATTTTCACAATTGATGCTGGTATTAGTCTATTGCATTTACACAATCAAGGACAAATAGCACGCTTTTTCTTTATATTTCATGCTATTTAACAAGGATATTATGCTTATATAATTTTTTATTGTAGCACTTTTGAATAAGCACAGATCAAGAAATAAACAAGAAAAGAGGCGCACGTTTTTATGTTTATGCGATAGAATGAAAGCAGGCTAAAAGGTTGAAAACAGCACAAATACTGGGAACAGTAATCCAGAGATCTATCATATAGTAATAATGGATGATAACTGAGACGTGCTTTCACACGTCTATCCCCATATTTGAACAAACTATGAGGTAACTATATGTATGACCAAAACATTTATAATTCCGTCAAAATCTTGATTTCGAGAATTTTCCGTTTTTAATGTAGTAAATAAAAGTAAAAGAATTAGGGAAAAAAAATGCAGTAACAAAATGTTGCAGTAAAATCTCGGTTGAAACTAGTTATTATTATTATTTGCAAAAGGTGTTTGTTCTGAGGTGAAAGTAAAACATTAGCCAATTACTAAGGTTTTTATATGAGCTTGACCTGGGAACTGTAAAATTCTCTTGCCAGCGGGAAGTGAATGAACACTAGTCTAAAATGTAGCCAGTGTTTTTCGCATGGCGGAAGACTTACTGACGACTGATTACCATCAAAGAGGAAAAAACAGTCACAGGGATGTATTATCGAATTGATGAGATATAATTCTTTTGATGGGGATGTCTCATCTTCTTTTGCATTAAAACTATATCCCGATATTTTAATGGATAAACGCAACGTTAAAACCAGGAGCTTGCAGAAGCATTTTAGATTCAACCAGGAAAAGCTATTTTCACACAGCATTCTTTGTCTTGATTTGAGCAAGCATTTATTTTCATACCTTTGTCTCACCATTCAGCAACACAAAGCTGAAACAAATATTAATGAGAAAGTAAACGCAGAAGAAATTTACTTTAGAGAGTTCAGGGTACTGATTTTTTTCTTTCTGCCAACGACAGAGCTGGAAGATTCGTTTTTAATTACGAGCTTCAGAAACTATTTGAATCCAGAGATGAATTGTTCTTAACAACTCAACACCTGCCAGTTTTCTGTTAGAAACAGGGAAGTTTACTATGATGTGTCAATTTTGATACACTAAAGTATTTCTCCGTTAATATATTCATGGATAATTAAGTATTAGTAATTAACTGACTAAGGAAAACGCCTTTATAAAAATTGAACTGTTGTGAATCTCTTTTCATGAAGTTTTGCAATGACGTTTTCACATAAGGTTTGGGAATTTTCTGTAACTGAACTTACCTTATTTGCGATGCGCTGAGGTACAGAATAGCGAAACATAAGTACGAGAGCTAATCCTATGGATCCTCGCAATCCGCTCCAGGTTAGAACAGCTGCGTAGTTCCAACTGAAACCATAACCCCTGTTTCTTAAGAACGGAGTTAGTAGTAATACCATTACAGCTCTGAAATGCAGAATAAATATCTAACAGTAATGGGATGGCATAACTTAATGAGCATTTTGGTACAATAAAAGGTATTTTCATATACAATATTTCCCCACTACTACAAAAAATCGCATCTCTTTTTTTTTTCTTTCCCTCATCCAATGATAAAACTTTTAGCGAAATAAAATAAAGTTTTAAATATAAATTTATATTATCGCTTCATTTACTTAACGCGGCCAGCCTTCGTCTGGCTTTTAAATGTACCTTCAAAGAGCCTAAAGGGAACACCAAACATTAAATTTAAAACGTGCACAGAATTTTACTCTGCAGAAAAACTTCATAAAACTGTATCACATATTAAAAAAAATTCAAAAAAATTCAAAAAAATTCAATAAAACTGTATCACATATTAAAAAAACTACAATGAAATAAAAAATTTCTCTTAATACAAATATTAATTATCCTAATAAATATATTAACCAACTTCCTGTTGCAAAATCTTAAGAATTCAAATGGTATAAAGGAAGTTAAGAACTTTTTTCCCTAAAAAAACATGCAAAACTTTTTATATAATTAAAACATAATATAAAAAATTACAATGCAATAAACAATAAATCTCATATTTTCAAGAGGAAACAGTCAGCAGTCCAGTATCCAAAGCAATGAAGGAAAAACTGTTGCCAAAACTACATTTCTTAAAGAATGAAACTATCATCAGAAAGCAAAAATGAATCAAAATTGTGCTTTGTGGATAACATAATTCAAAATATACAAACCTCTTTGCCATTAGCTAATAAAGAGAAACAGAAAGGGGAAAAAAAAGAAAAAAAAAAGGAAATTTCTTCTGTTGGTGTCTCGCGAGACACATTCGCGTCAGAATAAGAAGATTGCGATGTACATCTTGTAAGTCGAAAAATAAAAAATAAGCAATATTTTATCTCATATTTTCAACAGTCAGCAGTCCAGTATACAAAGCAGTGAATGAAAAACTGTTGCCCAAACCACATTTCTGAAAGAATGAAACTATTCAAAATGATGCGATTTCATCAAAAAAGATGAATTGAAAAAACATCTGATTCGAATTTTGAAAAATTCGCTTCGAGGTGCATTGGCTGGCTAGATGCACCTATGTACCAAGTTTCGTAGCTCTGTGTCTATTAGCTTAACGCGCAGCAAGAACACACACACACACAGACTCTTTCTTTTATTATATGTAGAGATTTCAGATAAATTCTTCGAGTATCAAAGTAAAAATATGGTAAATGTATTAATTTGGAATACTAGTAACTTCCACGGCTAATTTCCATTCGGTTAAATATTATTTCAAAAGATACGGGGTAAAAGAATTTGGTTTTGTAATTAATCAGATTTAGGATTTGCTTATTTTGGAAAATACTTAAGCATATTTTCTATATTAATTCCTTGCAAAAAATAGCCGACTGTAAATAAGTTCCTGAAAGCGGACATTTCCCTATTTTATCCATAGAGCTTTATATATTTCAAAAATATTAACTCAAAATTTATCTATAGCATCTTAATAATAATTTAACCTTATTTTAAGGCAGGCAAAAATATGTAAAAAGGCCCTTCTAAAGTTAGCCGGTTTTAATTAAATGCGTTAAATGTACGTAATATATATGTATATGTAATCTATGACGAAATTCTTGGTCATATAACTAAAACTTAACAACAGTTATGGATTTTCAATCAAAATTATCAACGATAATTTTACATGAATCGAATCATTCCTTACACATATCATTTTTATCGTATCTTGTTGCTTAAAAACTGTTATTAATTGTCCCATTAAGCTTCTTTTGTTAGCGCACCAAAACTTTTGTTCATAGACAAGGATGAATAAATTGTTGCGATGGTTAAAAAACTTCTTTCATAATTTTTGATTTATTTAACTAAAATCTTGTAACTTGGAAAATTTTTTTATGTTTTTTAGTTCAGATGAACAGGGAAAATAATAGAATAATATGACTACCTCTAAACATAGGAAAATCATTATCTCTAATCAACACCAGTGCAGAAGCGAAAAGAACCACCAGTACAGGTGCGAAAAGAAAAAAAAAAGGGGGCGGCAGTTCTATATCTCCCTTTCTACTCAGCCGATTGACGAAATTCAACTATTGTTTTACATGCCTCGAAAGCACGTCTTAGGATATGTATTAGATTTATATATTGCATTGTTCTAATATAGATATTTTGACCCAAAATCGGACTTTTTCTGAAATGACATGCCAAGTTTTTTCCCTATTTCGATTTTGCGACTCAAATTATGCCATCCTCCCAAATTTTGTAAAAATCGCACGAGTAGTTTTTAAAAAATTAGCTCTCAAAATTTCAGCTCCTCAATGTTAATTTGATGAATTGAATTAATTGAATTCGAATTAATTAATTGAATTTGATGTATATTTATTAATATCTCTTTTTTTATTAAACTTACTTGATTCCTTCTCCCAGAATTGAAAATTTAGATTCATTCCAAATAAAATTCATCCATTTTTTATTGTTTATTTTAAAATAATTTTTTACAAATTTCTCGAAAATTTTTTTTATAAATTTTGAATTATAATCTATAAAAGTTTTACCATAATCTTAAAATAAATGTATTTCTAAGTATACCTTCAAAAAATTAGAGTTTTTTATTCAAACTGTCTTGGGATATACAGGAATTTAAATATTGGCGCCTTTTGAAATTAGGTATATTTGTTATAAGCGATAATAACGCCAAATGTGGTTTACGCACTTTGTTAAAATTATTTGAAATACTGAACGATTATTTTTTTTTTTCGCTGGTTTACAATGAAAAAAAAAAAAACGAAAGGAGAATAGGTTGCTATTAATTAAGAAAATCGCCAAGTGAATTATTCTTGGCGCAAACTGAAAAATATGCGCCAATATAAATTTTAAAATTTGTCCATAAATTTTCGCACTTAATTTTACACAATTTAATATTTAGGCATAATTTGAGTCGTAGAATCGAAATATGGAAAAACAAAGGACATGTCGTTCCAGAAAAAGTCAAATTTTGTGTCAAAATACTTGTACTAGAACAGTGCTATTTATAAACCTAATTTATATCCTAAGTTCCACTTAAGAGACATGAAAAACGCAATTTGAATTTTGTCAATCGGCCCAGTAGAACGGGAGATACAGAACTTTTTTTTTTTCGCAGTGTACATCACATTGCCTTTCTTTTAATGTTTTATTACACAATTCTTCTTTCAAATTTTATACAGAAGATTACTTTTCGATCTATCCGATGGTACAAAAATTTAAATTCTGCGATGAGCAGTTTGAGCGTTTAGCGTGTATATGTGAAAAACATTCAACGCTAACAGAAAGAATATCGAATCTGGAAAATTTTATGTACACTATATAAAAAATTTTTAGAAAATAGGCTCTGTAGAAAGAAGCCAAAAATTGAAATATTTGATCCACATTAAGCAGAGAGAAATCAAGCTAAATAAAAATACGTAAAAATAGCTAGAAGACTATTGTACCAGAGTAATTTTCCCTAGAAACAACTTCACATCAAAGAGAGAAGTACAAAGATTTGGTATCACGTATCAGTTTTATTTTCATGTGATTATTGATCTCAGCTGAACTTAACAATGAAACTCAAATTTCAGTATCTCTGCAATAACATTTAGTTCGATATTTGATTATAAAAATTCATCTCTCACCTAAAAATTGAAACAGTCTTACCTAAACACTGAAACTGCAACGTATGTTGCAATGATGAATCCGATGTCGCTGGGGCTGAAGTCAGTAGCAGCGGTGGACATTATTATGATGCCGACAACAGTAAAGATAAGAGTATTAGCCCAGAAACTCAGAGATTCCCAGAACCTATAAATTAAACATGCTGTTAGTTTAAGCGCGTGATTATCTTTAAAAATTATTTTAACCTATTGTAGAATTTCAAGTTTAATTTGTTTCTTTTCTTAAGGTAGCAAACATATTTCTGTATAAACACAGTGTAATCGATAAACATTTGTTGTTGCACTCGGAAGCTTTTGCCATGATTCATATTTCTCACATCCAGATACGTTTAATTATAATATTCTTATACTGTTGTTTTGAATTTTCATCTTTACCCGTTATCTGCCATTGCTTTGTATTTTCATCCTTATTATTAGAACGAGCATCAATTTAATTTCTATAACATTCAGAATAAAGGCATTTACTTAAAGCATTGCAAAGATGGCCAGTTTAACTAAAAACCTTTTTTATAATCATTCTAATTGTTAGCTATATAGACAGCATATCATTATAGATAGCTCAGGAATGAATTAAAAATAGAATATACTTAATATTCTAAAAGACATTTGCAACGTTTTGCCCGAACTTAGCATGAATACCCATAGTAAGCCTCCTTATGCCCCCTAGACAGATAGCTCTAGTATGCTTTGCTGTAATCTAATCCACTCTAGCATTAAATTACTGTATTAATTAATTTGCTTCTGATAGTCATCTGTCTAAAACAGAAATGATTTCGTAGAGACTTTTCTGAAACATACTGGTTCGACTTTATATCCTGTACTGGGAACGTTATGAAAACACCATGTAGCCAGATCGTTCAAGTACTGAGAACCAAACTTAGAACATATTAACGTATTTCTAAGCTTGTCAGGACTGCTGCTCCTTCTAATTGCCTTTAGAAATGTTTGCTAATCCTGAATAGGTGCAGGGAGCTTACTCAAACTATGCTCGTGAGTCTGTAGGACAAACACCACCATCAAGAAGGGTTAACTTTACTCTCTATTTTTTACAACATACAGCCACTCCCGCACTTCGGGATACAAAGACTAGCACTTATGGTCTGAAAGTAGAAAATAAGAAATAAACCAAACAAGAACTAAATAAGAACAAAACTTAAATGCTTTACAGAGACTATTAACACGAAGATTAGCCTCTTGACACCACGTATGTAGTGAACGAAATGCAAATACGTTTTAGTATATCAGCAGGAACTATGTTCTGGTCGTAAAGGCAGACATGAACTGACTGAAAAGCACGCGTATGGTAAGGCAGCAAGAAGTCTCTCTCTCCTCTTGGCTAAAAGCCACATCTTAAATACCTACACAGTTTGCAACCTCTTTAGCATAAACAAATCTACTCGCGCTTTTTCTGGCCGGAAATGGAAAATAAGAGAGGATTTAAAATAAAATAAACGTTAGTAAAACGTAAAATCCTTACAAGCTTTAGCCACACGGCTTACAATGGGCTTTATCACTGTAACATTTTCAGCTATTTTCTAGCGGTTGCTTCCCATTTCCATAAATTTTGAATATGATCTTCACCGATGGCTAATTTTTGACTTTTAGCTTTGTACGATGGCAGCTTGAATGAGGAGAATTATTGGAACGGCCGCTCATAAGAAATCCTGGGTGTGAGAGTTTACCTCCTCCAGATCTAATCATTACTACATAACAGTCGCTTGATTGTTACAGCCGCTAGCTTGTTTGTGCCGGTTGCATTTCGTCTATCGTTCTTGTAGATGGTGACAGATCACATTCCATGTCGCATTTTCATGTCCTTGGAATTTGTGAGAAATTCTGGAACAAAATCCTGGAGCACAGCCTAGAGAAATGCAAGAGAGAGAGACACAGATAAGTGAACTTCTTCCTCTGTCCAGCACTTGGAAAAACGACTGCCGAACTCAATAAATTTGCATGGGAGTTTAATTCTTCTTCTTCACGGAAAGCGGTCAACTACGGCTGAAAGCCATGCAATGCCCCAACCTTGCTTTGCGAGTTTCTTTACAAGAGAGTGAATCACAATAACAGAAAAAAAGGCCTCTAAAACTATTGGTGAACTTTCTACTTCGAACTTACATCTTCAATGCAAAAGAACATTTAATATGTAAATTCTTTATATATATTCTAGAACTTTTATAAATTGGAAGCGATATCTTTTGCTTAGTACCTTTGCATCCCATTCCCTTTGCCTTTACACAACTTTAGTTCAAGCTAAAGGTATCTAAGCTAGTTCTTTGCAATTGTCATCAACAACTATCTTCAGTTGCATGTTGCATTTACACTAAAATACCAAAAATGCAACTATATGTTTGGTAACCTGTAGAGTCTTATTCTTTTGGGGAGCATAAAATGTAGACCCGACTGAAGACGAAAAGCGAATTCTCGCTACGTCCTTGAAAAAAAAAAAAAAGTGTCTGCCGACGAAGGTTTTAACAATCTTTTTATTTTAACTAAATTGAACAGAGCGTGCACTCATTGGGTTCTCACAATTTAACCTCCATTTGGGGCTGAGTAACGTAACACAAAATAGTATATTCAGTCAGAATAAATTCAATTTTAATTACGCGACCGGCTCCTATTTCAATCTAAATCCGCTTATCGGCTTCAAACAGCAAAGCCGAGTTTAGAATATCAATATGAATTAAAGTAAGTGGCTAACACAAAATATTCAGCAACACAGCTACTTGCAAACAAGCGGCATAAACTCGTAACTAACTCTTCTACTGCGAACCCTTAACTAGTGCGAACTAAGGCTTTTGTAAATTTGCATATTCGTCATTTAAAATTGCATTCTGGCATGAAATTGAAATCAGAAGTTTCTTAAAATAAAAAATAATTGATTATTACAAAATAAATGCCTTTACAAAATAATAAACTAGCTTCCAGAAGCAAACTAATTTTGCAAAAGTTGAAAATTAAATTGCACAAATACAGATACGTAATAATACTTCAAAAACCGTAAAAAATATTAAAAAGAAGCTTTTAAAAATCTGAAGAAGAAAATAGGAAGGTATTAATTACCGAGTCAAAAAACGTAATAACCATTTTCTATGCAGCAATACACTGAAGTGAGTCATGGGATACCTCCTAATATTTTGTCGGTCCTCCTTTTGCCCGGCGCAGCAACTCGACGTGGCATGGACTCAACAAGTCGTTGGAAGTCCCCTGCAGGAATATTGAGCCATGCTGCCTCTATAGACGTCCATAATTGTGAAAGTGTTCACGGTGCAGGGTTTCGGGCACGAACTGACCTCTCGATGATGTCCCATAAATGTTCGATGGGATTCATGTCGGGCGATCTAGGTGGCCAGATCATTCGCTGGAATTGTCCAGAATGTTAATTCTTGTCGTGCAGCCATAATCACGTCAAAGCCTCTTCACATGAATAACTTGAACACAAATGAAAGCCCTGCCAAAGCACTTCGCATTTATACATTTTCTACGCGATACTACTGCCATCTGTATATTTGCATATTGCTATCCCATGACTTTTGTCACTTCAGTGTATGTAATTTCTATAATCTCCAGTAATGTTGAGCTGGATTAATTACATATCTTTTGCAGAATTCGCTTAAAACATGGAAGAATTTAGGACTCTTTGATATCTCTTGACAAATGGCCATATAAATAAAAATCCCCCCTTCTCAAAAAATCTCTTCTTCTCGCCGCTCGTCCCCCCTTCTCAAAAAAGTTCTACTTACTGCTGCATTGTAGAATCCTTCTCCTCGTAATTAATACTACTCTTGTAATTGCTGATGCATACTCCAAGTACAACAACTGACAGGATGCCGGATACCTTTAAAAACAGGTCGCTGGTGAAATACGTGATGTATGCAATACAAAAGGAAAATGTCACTTCCACATCAGTGTCGTTTTCTGTTCTTCTTAGCAGAGCTATGGCACCTATAGCCACTAAATATCCAAATACTACACCTCCAACAGTTGTACGTAAGAGATGGAAGATAACATCTTGAGCTAGAAAGGAAAAAGGATATATAACAGTTCTGACTTAAAATTCAATTTCACAGGAAAAAATATTAAGTTTATTCTAAATTTCATTGAAAAGGTTTGCGTTTTATTCCTTAGTGACCCTGAATCAGTTCTGAATTTTTAAGGAACTAAGGCCTCTTTTGCAAGCGTAATCTTTTAAGGAGAAATTAACAAACTTCCATATGTTATCTGATAAATATGTTTTTTTGCTAAAATTTCCTTGAAATTATGTTCAAGTTAGAGATTTGTGGGAAAAATCTTTACTTTAACCTTTTTTTTTAAAAAAACTTAAATAATAGTTCATGAAATGCAGCTTTCAGAAATTAAATTCCAACTTTCATTATTAACCTAATTTTAATGTAACTGGTATTTTTGTATAAATTCAGTGAAGGTATAAGGTATTTCTCCCGTCTTCGTGGTGTAGTAGTCTGCACGCTGGGTGCGTATTCCAGAGGTCCGCGGTTCGATTCCCGGCCAAGGCGTTGCTCATTTTTCATCTCTGCTGCTTCCAAAAAAAAAAAAAAATACCTAATGTCTCTACAGTGGCGCCCGAACTAAAAGAGTGGTGGATAATGATTCTCCTCACCCAGGATTTGGCAATTTGTCCCTTAAAAACCCCAGTCGCCCTTTAAAAAAGGGGGAGTATATAAGGTATTTCTCCCGCCTTCTTAGCGTGCCTTCGGGGTGTAGTGGTCTACACGCTGGGCGCGTATAAGGTCCGTGGTTCGATTCCCGCCGAAGGCGTTGCTTATTATCCTAATGTCTCTGCAAAGGTACTCCTCTCCTTGCAAAAATTCGCATTATACTATTTTGGTTTTGCTAAGGTCTTTGGCAGTAAGAAAACGAGATATTCGCGTCTCCAAGGGAGTGAAGAGAATGAAAATAACTTTCAGCATCTTTTGGACAATGTTCACCTCTTTGTACAGGGAGGGGGGCGGAAATTAGACTCCACTCTCAGTAAAAATTAACACTGACATTTCGGAAAAGACATTTATTCCTACTCACTACACATATAATACAGAAAAACAAGAAGGATTACATAGCGCACTCTTGCGGCGGGCAGTGGATCTAATAACAGGCAATGATTATAAAAATGTATCATCGAGGAAAAGATATTCAAAATTTTGAAAGGGCTTCTGTCTAGGACAAGTTTGAAATAGGTTTTCATTTCCTACCAAGAAATATATCACAGAAAAATGTACAAGTCCAAGCAGTTAAGCATATTTTAAGTTTTTCGCATAAATCACAACAATTAACAAACCTTGTCATTTTACAGAAACTATTGACCCTATATATATATATATCCTTATATTATGAATGAAATTGCTGTGAGGCTCTGATTATCTGTAGCAATAAAAACATTTCAGAATTTGAAATCATTCAAAATGAGGTCTTGGAGGCTTGTTACTGGAGCTGTGAAAACCACTCCGATACAGGCAATGCTTACCTTCACAGGCAATAAACCATTGAAGAAAATTATTCAGGAGAGAGCTTTAATACTATACTTTCAGGAGAGAGAAATTAATCAGATTGCATTGACAAAGTCATAGAGATTATGATATCTATATATCTCAAAGATAGATGGATTTTTGCAGAAAGTTTTAAAAATGAAATCAGACGCCCTCATGGTTGTTCCCATAGAAGAACTGTAGAAACCAAAACGTCCTAGCCACCTAGGATCTATTAGAATTTAATGTTATTTGATGTATACTAGTAAAACAAACATGTATACTAAAACATCATTAATTGATGCTGAATTCAAAGCAGCTGCTATGGAGACAATTTACATCAGATATTCAAAGAATAATTTATTTCACATATATACTTGCTAGGAATTTGAAGTTCTCTCGCCGCTAGCAGTGCAGCATTTATTTCTTCGGACTTTTGTGGCAATACTGCTCTCGCTTCTGTTCAAATCGTCCGCGCAGCCATGAAGAAGACAGTATGGTTCTTCAGTTTTCTATAAGAAACTATGTAACTGTAATTGTAAATAAACTATGTAATTGTAATTTTTGTGTTAAAGTTTGTATTGTGAAAGTTACAGTAGTCCATTAATTCGATGGATATCACGAAACAGTACTGCTGGAGCGAAAATAGCTATCACGAAACAAAACAGTACTGATAGATCGAAATGTATATCACGATGGATATCACGAAACAGTACTGATGGATGGCAATTGCCCGACAAAATTGGAGATGTGTATTCGAAGCTCTTTGCATTCTGTTGTTCTCTTGGTCCATTTTGGACCAATTTCGATGGAGAACTGGAACCAATTAGAGTTGCAACCGAACAAGTTATTATTAGAACAATCCAATTCAAAACTATCGTTATTTTTTCAAGCGTCCCTTTCAGCCATTCAAGCGATTTCTGCACATAATGTCGCGGAATCAAGAATTTATTGAATCTTGCACAAGAGATTTTTCTTCGACCCTTAGAATGAATGACCTTTCTTACAGTGGATCCCAGCTCATGCTGGAATAATTGACAATGAATAGGTTGATAAGCTAGCTAAAAAGCGAACTAAAATTTTGCAATCATATAATAGTGGGGTATCATTAACATCAATGAAAGGATAATGGTAAAAATGGTATGAGGAAAAGTTTTGATGTTAAATTACTTGAAGAAGTTAAGAATAAAAAATGGAGGGATTCGGGTTGTAATATCCCGGACTTTCCCAGATCGATCGCTGTTGCAGCGTTCCATTTGGAGACCGGACAAGAGTTTTGAGATAGTCAGAGATCATTTGCTAAAATGTTCCTCCTTGAAGGAAGCTACGAGTTCATACAGTCGATGTCAGCTAGAGTTGATAAAGCTGACAAATAATTTTTTTAGTCCAAAGGGTCTTTGTTTCGTCTTGGCTACTGAAGAACTATTGTTTTCGTTTTGCGATTTTGCGTTGATTCACTATAAATGTCCGTTTCACTTTTCAAACTATTGCCACCAAATGTTAGAGTTCTGCATTATATTTGAAGAAATTAAATAATGAAAAATCTGTATAAATGTGTGTATATTTCTCGCATTGTGATAAAACAACGGTACCTAGAGCCATCGAATTTTGAATGACGTAATCCTACTGCGAATATGGTGATAGGGAAGACCAAATTTGAAATTTGAAATTTGGAATTTGCTTTATTATCGATTTCATATTTTGTAAAACTTTAACGAATTTTTGATTAACAAACTCAAGGATTTCAAAGCAAGAAACATTTTTATCTCCAGCGCTGTATCGGCTCTGTATCGGAAATTCTAAAGATATCACGAATTTTGCGAATTTTGCGATATATAAAACTATTTTGCGATATTGCTCTTGAACTGAATTTTATGGTTTAAGTGCGAAAAACGTAATATTTAATAAATAAAGGTAACAGACAAAATGTTAAAAAAACGCCCCTTTGGACGTAATTTAAAATCTAAAACCTTTCAGATTTAAAAAAAAAATATTCTTATTTATTTTTAGTGTTATTCCATATTCCAGTTTCGATGTAGTTATTGTTATTGTAATGAGGTCAATTTCTGTTTTGTCTTTTTGTAATTTTAATTTTGTATCTTTCTTTCATGCTGTACTCTCATGCATCATCATGCATCTTATCTTATCTAATCACTATATCTTATCTCGTTCATTTGCGCTTTGGCAGCTGAAGATGAGGTTAGGTAAAACCATCGAAACTAGTCCTGTAAAAATTTGAAAATATAACGCTGATTTTTGTAGTTTGACTTCTAAATTAATTATTTCACATTTCAAAGCTTTCATGCATGTTCGTCCCTGAAACTTGCTAGACTCTCCCCAAATAGCTTCTATAAAAAATTAATTAGCCAAAAGGAGTTGTATTTATTAACAATTAGTGATTAGCTGTAAAAATTTAATAATCAGACCTTCTTCGTTTATAGTATATCAAAGTTATCTTTTCCAAACGAAGATATTTTTATTTCCTTATTATTGAAGACCGAATGGCATTTTCAGATGTCATTTGCAGTATACGAGTAATGATAATCATATGATAATACATAATGTATATATTATCATATGATTATCAATATACTGCAAATGACATCTGAAATATAATGATCATCCAGTAATCACTTGACCAGGTTATTGATTCATTGCAGAAGTTATCTAGAATTTACTTATGCTTGTAAATAGATGTAAGCCCAGTTAATATTTTATCTATATGTAGAGTGGTTGTGATGATTTTAAAGACCAGAACCTTACATTATAGTCAGAAATTATGAACAACAAATCATGCTTGAATATCTTAGTTACTCTGATGCTTATAATAACAATGTCAATTGAATCCTTCGAAGAAACTGTTATTGTAAATTATAAATTTCTCGATATTAAAAAATAATTGCGGAAGCATAATAAGTAGAATTTATGAAAGAAATGACCCATATTTCCAGAAAATTTAGTCTGCATCTTCAGATTCATTTCATCTGTAGAAGAATATTTTTTCCCCTTCTTTTGATAATATTTTCTTAGATTGCACATTGTAATAGACCGTCTGAAAAAGAATTTTGGATATTACATTGTTTTTGTTCAGATTTAAAAGTCACAAGATTTAACTGCCTTCTTTTAAACAGTTTGATAATAGCCGTAAGTTTGTTCGAAAGACCTAACTAAGGTAAAGAAACGTCTGAAAGAAATTATTATTTAGAAATTTTTCCTTTTAATTGTATTTTAAAACTTAATTTAAATTTCCTTTTAAACTTCTTTTATGACAGCCTACTTTCAGATTCTTTACGTTGCATTCTTTCGTAGGTAATATACGTATGATTGTATATATACGTATGATGTATATATACGTATGATTGTATATATGTTGCTTAAAATTTCAAATTCTGCAACTACTGCAGTGAAATGCAATTAATCACAGTAGAAATTTTCTGAAATCAACGAAATGCATCATACTTAGTATTATTTACAAGTATGCTTACAACAAATGAAGTATGTGTCTTCAAATATATATTTTATTTGACAAGTATATTG